GCCAGAGCGAGGGAGGTTAAATTTGTGGTGTATTGATTCACCTCCTTCCTCTCCAAGAGTACATACATGCGAAGGCGTGGCTCGCCCGAACAGTGTGGCTTCGTCAATATCGACACCCAACAAACTCTCCACGGTGTTTTGGCTCTTGTTATCCACCGAGCACGCCCCCCTTAAGATTTTTCTCCTTCTTTGGTCTACTGTACCTCCCTTTCTTGCACTCTCAATCCACCCACATACAATGCATTTATCATCTGTGTGCGGCATCCAGGCTAGTACATTTGGCAGAGCCTTGCTACAGCCACCACCACCATTATCCCCTCCCTTACCATTACCACCAACATCACACGGTGTTTCACTTGCTGCTGACTCCTGGATAAATAGTAAGCATGCCCTACAGAAATGTATGGGGTGGACACCACTTTCATCTTTTTCTACCTTGAGACCTAGAAAGATCTGCAATGCATAATCTTTCACTAGATAAATAGGGGGCTCCAAGACTTCCGACCACTCCGATGGCTGGGAAGTTTACATCCACCCAAGCAACACAACATACCCACATGCTCAAGGTGAAAATTCAAATTTTTGAAATCAGAGCTCATTGTTCAGCCATAAGAGACGTCAGAAAGAACACCATGCACACAAAACTACCCTACAGATCACAATGACACTAACGTATTTTGTAGATGAAGGTTTCCGCTATACAAATAAACTTCCCTCGCCTCCACCAAAACTTCCCGAACTAGCTACCCAGGGCAGTTTCCCTGACCTACGTACAGCAAAAGATCCGCTCAACACTGAGTAAGAAATCGACAAGAAACGCTTGAAAAGTCGCTCGATCGAAGAAAGAAGCATTCGTTTTTTACACGCGATTGTACTACAGCTACTGTACTCTCACACGATGCTATTTTTGTTGTTTTCAGTGCCTCAGGCTCCGCTCGGTGAGGCCGAGAAGCCGCGTGTAGAGACCTGGCCCTGCGAAAATTCTCAGCCCTTGAGTACGCTTGAGTACGGGAAAATCCCCTACTTCGGTGACTGCTGGTCTGGCCTCGAACCCGAGATGCTGTGCACGGGTTTTTGCAGTCTGAATCAGCCGTGTACTGCTGTGTGGTGCGGCACTGGTGCCCTCGCATTTTAAAGGGGAAGTTAAGGCAAAAATTAAAATTTCACCAGTTGTAGTCTTCGGGGTGCTGAGTCGAATGGTCTTGGTCCGAGTAAGCTGAGACGCTCCCTTCCTACTTGAATCCCAATCGAACTCGCGCACTTCCACCGAAACTGGGTGACTGCGCCCTACTAGATGGGGATTTGTATGCAAAATATCACTAAAAGCGCCGTTTCGTTCTTATAAAAGCACGGATGACCGCGATTGGCCCATGTGTTGTAGTCTTTTGGACGCTGAGTCGACTGGTTTTGGTCCTATCCGAAAAGGCTGCGATGCAGCGTTCCTCCTTTATTCCAAATCGAACATGGTTGAACAAGCGGTCACGTGCTCCTGCGTACACCAGTCAGCTGGTCACCGTGCCTGCAGGGTACAACTATTAGTATTACTTACATGTACCGGTAGCCTGTTTGACCTTTTTTGGGTGCAGTCCTGTCACTCGAGTTGAACTCGAGTTGAACCTTGGTGTGAAAGTAAGTTGTCGCCTGCTGGCGTGGTGACCAGGTGATTTGGGCAGTGGGCTAGGGTGAGTGGTAGGCCTAGCCCAAATTTGCCGGCAATTCTCCAACAAAAAGAAATTGCTGGCAAATTCCGAGCAAAATATCGAATTTACAGAGGATCCGGGTGTGTTTTGGTAATTTTATTCAAATTTCGTTGGTTTCATTGGGCCAACGTCGTGCTGAAATAGCTCGTGCAGGTTGTCAGGGGTACATAAATTTGAAATCATGCTCCAAAATTCGTAATACTGACACCATTATAAGTTTTGCTTTCCTCGTCAGAGTCACCATCCACTTTTACCAAAGTAGACGGTTCATTCGAAGCCATTTTTGCCACAAAGCAGGAGCAAAATGGAGCAAAATATCGGAAACGAAAGGCAATATGCAATGCCAATATGGAAAGTGATCGGGCAAAATTTGCCGGCAAAATATCGAAGCGCCCCGAGCAAATTTGGGCTAGGCCTAGTGAGTGCTGAGTGGGCAGTGGCCCCTGCCACCCAGGAGCACGTGACCACTTGTTCAACCATGTTCGATTGGGAGGAACGCTGCATCGCAGCCTTTTCGGACCAAAACCAGTCGACCATATATGGGGTCTCCAACGGCGAAAACTCACATCACGTGTCTCAGATACGTTCGTACTACGTACAAACGAAGGATAGCGTAGACCATGTAGTGCTAGCATGCGCGTGCGGGCCCGTGCAGTCCGAATATCCCTGCCGGCTAGCGCGCGGCTGCCATGATCATGGGCATGGCCATGGCATGGGCATGGCCATACGGGTGAGTTTAGGCTTTCAGAGAGTGCTTTAAAAAAAGATGCTTGAACCTTCAGCCCTCACCAACGCTGTACAAAGCGTCACTGGCCCGTTTCTCAACGGTCGCGCAAATCGACCAATCAGCGTACAGCTAATGTACCAAAATTCTCGAACTTACCGTAATTCCTTGGTTCATACGGTGTAGTTTCCAAAGATTTTTTATGGGCCAACGTCTTCTTTCGATAGATACCAACAGATCGTCCGCTTCGAATTTTTCGATTTGATTGCCGTTTGGCCGAAAATTACCTCCGAAACCGGCCTCCACTCGTTTCACTTCAAGGCTTTCCAGGTGGACGGCATCGCAATTCGGAAGCGGAGAAAGGATAGCCAGTGAAAAAAGAAAAACAACGACGTATTGGTTGTCGAAATCGACCAAGAAATGAATTCAATAGACCTGTTTCCGTGCTGCGCCCTCGCGGCCCGCGCGAGTGCGAAAGGGATTCTTTCTCGACAAAACAAACAACTACTAGTACGCGCAGTACACTGACATCACTGCACTGGCTGTATATACCTTAGGAATATCCTGTTCATTTCCAAGGCATGATTGTCGCTAGTGGGAGAACTCAGCCACCTGAAGCTTTCATAAAGGAAGAAGTAGTAGGTGAATGAGTTCGCCAGAAAATGGAACGACAAGAAAATAGATACTGTTGCTTTCCGGGGCGCTCATGAGACGACGGCAAGATAGGACTGAAACGATCGACAGTCTGCCTCGACGCAAAATAAACTCTTCTAGGAGGAGCTCGACGTGCTGTAGAGTTTGCAGTATTCTGCTGGAAGAAGACAAGAGAACTAAACTCAGACTACAGCGTGGAGCTGAAGCACGAGCGAAGCAAAACCTGAAGCAAAAGCTGAGCGAGTTCGAAGAAATGGGGAAACACAGGAAAATGAGTGGGCGACATGATCTTTAGCTCGTGAGCTCGAAGCTCGCACTGAGACACGCGGTGGGCACGTGCGCCTACTGGTAGCGCGGCCAGCCACCATGTTTTCAAAATGGAGGTCGACGCTTTTGAAATCCGTGTAGACGATGGTGAGGGCTGACCTTTGGAGTCTCGTGCCAGTGCTGCGATGGTGCTCAACACAACGTCCTGGTCACACACTAGGGAGGTTCCGGAGTACGATTTTTCGTGCCAAAATCCGTGGAGGCTCTAATAATAATAATAATAATAAAACAGGTCGCGTAATGAAGCAGCATAACGATAGATGTGCAAAGTCATGATGCCTGGTCCGCTTCTGTCCTGGGTTCACTACCCCGTGCGTTGCAGCCGCGAGCAAAACCAGCTCAGGCTGAGAGTTCCCTCCATGATTGCTTGTCCAAAGCGCGCATTCTGAGCCCACTCAGATCAGTCATGGTCTTCAGTGGCATGTCTCTGGCAGCTGTGCTTGCCTTGACTGCCGTGGCCAGGTTCGATTTCGGGCGTCCACGCACACCGGTGACATCTCGACGGAAGTAGTTGTCCATTGCCTGCTGTGGCGGGGCATCTGAGGGCATCCTCAGAACATGACCCAACATCCGGAAACGGCGGGCAGCAACGGTGTGCGAAAGTGGCTGTGTGTGTGCTCTGGAATATAGGTCTTTGTTGGAGATGATGGCGGGATACCTAATTCCGAACAAGTTCCGTAGTTGACGTCTATGGAAGGCGTTCAGCTTCTCCAGTGCAGCCTCTGTCAGTCCCCAGGTTTCGCAGTTGTATAACAGTGTTGGTAGGACGATGCTCTACGGATTTTTTATACGTCGTTTTCGAGCAGTGAAAAGTTCCGGGGTACGGAACTTATGTGTTTGCCGTCATTGCCTAGGTTACGATCGCAAACACGTCACATTCCCGCGCTATGCCTTTTTATTTTGAAAATTTGTACCGAAATCAAAACTTCCCGCGAAAAATCGATGTTTCTCGTACCAAATTTGTACGCGAAAAATCTTTCTGCACCCGATGACGCAAAATCTCCATACGAAGCATGGTTCGTATGAAAGCCAGTCCACACGGATTCTCGTGCCGAAAAATCGTATGGAGCACGCCTGGAAAAAATCCGTAGCGCCCATACGGATTTTGGCACGGAAAATCGTACCCCGGAACCTCTCTACTGTTGACTGGATGGAGTCTGTGGACGTGGACATTCACCAAATGGACAAGGTTTGTAGGCTTTGGCGTGATCCACGCCAAAGCCTACAAACTTTGAAAGCCTTGTCCATGGGGGGATCCAGCAAATCTTCTGTGTTGTTGTACGAGAATCATGCATCGTACATTCGAATATTCGTAGTACTAGCCTGCGGCCTAGCTGGACGTCTGCACGTCTGGCCGTCTCTACCGCAAAACCTGCATGCATGCTGGGAAGCGACGCACGCGCATGCACAGTGCAGTATGCATGGCAAGCAAAGAATGTACTTACCGGTACGCGGTATGTAGCTTGGTACATGGTACACCAGTTGTATCCCGTACCGCGCTTTTTTTTTGGCTTCCGGGCCGTGTGCTTTCTTGCATTTTGTTTTTGTGTTTCTCGTTTCTTGCATTTTGTTTCTTGAAGAAGGTTGTGGAGTACTCTGCAGCAGCTTGAGTGTTTGGCAGTGGACATTGATAGATATGCAGAAAGGAATACGTGATAGCTGACTTGGACTTGGAGGTAGCTCAGCCCAAATCCTCTGTCTGTACAGCTTTGTCAGTGGTGACATCCCTGTACCCGTATACGTAACATCAGATTTCGAATTATTTTCAGTGTCATATCTGGCTTCATTATACCCGTTCACCATCTGCTAACCGCTACCCGTCTTGATGCACGTAACATCTCCGTGTGATTCTGGAACCTGGCGCCCTTTGAACTCTGACCTGAACTCTGATCTGGACTTCGATAATCACTGCACAGCCTAGCCTTATCAAGCCCTGTTTTTCGCAGGTCTGGTCTGAGGGTGACAGCGCCGGTGCTAGTTGCTAGTAGACTCACAACACCGGATTTTGTTGAGCAGCACTGTGCTTCGAGTGTTTTCCACCTGCTACGCCTCGAAGAGTAAAAAGATTGTGAAGGTTCAAGGAGCGTGATAGTAATGGTGTTGGAAAGGGAGCAGCTTGCTTTCTGGTTTTCAGAATACAAAAGCAAAGCGATTACGCTGTCCGCTAGCACGTAGAACTATACTAGAGTAGAGGTGTTCGAGTTGCAGTGTCTGGGGAATGGAGTGGTTTACGTTTCTTTCCATTTTCGCTGCTCTGTTATGCGTCGGCCATGTCAGGCTTGTTTCCTCACAGGGCTCAGAGTCGACGTCGAAAGCAATGTATGGCCCCTGTAATACGACAGATAGCTCCTGTAATGCTACCAACTTCGACGTTATTCTAGGTGGTCTGTTTCCATTGCACAATGTCGTGTGCGAACGTGACCTCTCGCTGGAATCCTTGCAGTGGGTTCTTGCCATGGAGCAAGCTGTACGAACTGTGAACCAGGACCGCATAGTCAGTAGCGGTAACACTGTAGTACGTGTGGGTTACGAGATTCGGGATACTTGCCGCTCTGGAAGAGTGGCACTGCAGCAGGTTTTGTCCTTCCTGGGTATGGGAGGTTCTGCAAGTGCTTCTTGCTCTGCTGGCGAAATTTCATCAAACTTTGTTGGAGTCGTTGGTCCTTTCTCCAGTTCAGTCAGCATTCAGGTCACCAGACTGTTGCAATTCTTCAACAAGCCAATGGTCAGCTTTGGATCCACTAGTCCCCAACTCAGTGATAAGGGTAAATACCCGTATTTCCTGCGGACACTGCCATCCGACACGTTTTTGGCCCGTGCCATAGTGCGCGCGGCCCGACAGCGCGGCTGGACATTCATTAACATTGTATTCACAGAGGACGCATTTGGCCGGGACGGCACAGCGTCTGTTGTCAAGGAAGCGCAGGCGGCTGGAATCTGCGTGGCTAGCAGGACAGGCCTGCGAGAGGTTGCCACCTACACCAATGCCGAGGGTCTTGTGGACTATCATAAAGCATGGACCACACTTCTGGACGTGTCTCCTAACAATAACAGTACGGTTACGGTTCTCTTCACGCAGGAAACGAATACCAGACACTTCTTCTTATATGGGCAGAAGAATAGTACGGTACGGGACAGGGCTTTGGCCAAGAACATCACTTTTCTTGGCGTGGACTCGTGGGGTGATATATTGACCGCGGTTGTGGACATGAATAGAATGCCTTTGCAGACGGCGCTGGGCGCAGCCAGTCCTATTCCGTTCAACAAGATTGTAGCATCGTTTGATGCTCACCTGACGAATGGAACACCTAGCGAGCCCTATGATCAGTTCAACCCATGGCTGCAGGAAGCGTGGAACCAGACTTTCCAGTGTGATGTTCTGACTGACATGACATGCAGACAGTCAAATCGTCTTACCGCCCAGGCCGACTATGTTCAAAGCAGCAAGGTAGCCATGGTCTATGATGCAGTGTATGCATTCGCCTACGCTCTCCGGGATATTCTCAGGAACACGACTCTCTGCCCATCAGCACAAGCAACATGTCCGGCCCTCAGAGATGGCAAGTTCCTTCTTGAGGCCTTGCAGAAAGTAAGATTTGCTGGGCAGAATTCTGACAGCTTCGAGTTCAACAAAAACGGCGATCCCCTGGAATCCAAGTATGCGGAGAAGAACATGGTGTACGACGCCAGCAGCCAGCGTGTCAGTTTCCCCACTGTGGGAATCTATAGTGCGGTTGAAACAGGTCGCAATGTATCCAGCTGTGTGCTGCTCAGAGACTACCTGTACAGTGATGGTGTGTGCTATAACGTATCGTTTTCAACCTCTACTGGCAGCACAATTGTCTGGAACGATGGGACTTCCAATACGCCAGTCTCCATCTGCTCAGAAGACTGCGCTCCTGGGCAGGAGCGCAGGAGAAAGAAGCGCACAGAGCAGAGTGACTTGACGTGTTGTTGGCAATGCACTGACTGCACCGGCCACATGTTCTCCAACGAAACAAATTCCGACGACTGCCTGTCATGCGCGGCTACCGAGAAGGTGGTCAGTAACACGGCAAGTAAAAATGTGCAGTGCCGCACTCTACCTGTTTATATGTATACCATCACACATCCACTGGCCTTGGTTGTCGCTGTTCAGGCAGCGATCACCAAGATTGCTGTGGTTGCCATGCTTGTAGCTCAGTGTCTGTGGTGGGAGAATGATCAGTACTTGCCATGGCCGGTGAAAGCCGTACCCACTGCCATATCGTTGGTAGGCATCTTTATTACGCTCGTCGCTGCACAGCTGTTTGTGCTGCGTCCGTCGGCGTTGATCTGTTCACTGCATTTCTCGCTGGTGACAGGTGGCCTGACCCTGGCCTTGGCGCCGATCATTATCTTTGTTTGGGAATGGTATACAACCAGCACTGACTTTTTCCACGAGGAGTTCTCTGCTGATTCAACATTTTACATGCGCAACCGCGCAGCGACCAGTCAGGGTCAAATTAACAGCCAGCAAGTACCGGAAATTCAGGACGATCCAGTTGATGATCCGATTGCTGATCCAACTACTGATGGTGTCCAGCAACCCGAGAGTAAAACTGACTCTCTCACTGATGAGATGAGACAGAGCCTCTCAAAGCTCGCAGCAGACGCAACGCCAAGCCCACCGGAAGGGTACACCCTGTTTTCGTGGCTCAAGTCCATGATGGTGTTTGTTTTACTTTACGGCTGCCTCCTTACTGCTTCCATGTTTCTGAAAGCCGGTGACATCAAAGATGGCATCCTGCCCCATGCTGAGCGAACCCTAACTTGCAGTGACTCGGGGCCTGTTCTGTTTGGCTTTGGCTGGATTGTTTTGTTGCTGATGTTGTTGGTGTGCGTCTCACTGATAGCTATAAAATCCACTAAGGGAGATGACAACACTTTCGAAGCGGATCTCGTCAAAACAGCACTCTTCAGCGTTCTCATTTGCACCTTGTGTGTAGTTGCCTGTACTGCCGTATACACATCGGAGCCCATTGCTGTCATTCGAAATGGCTCGTTCAGTCTAGCTTCCTGCCTCATCAGTTTGTCTTTGATTGGAGTAGTCCACGGGCCTCGTTTCTATTACATATATCGCCACCGGCTTCAATTGAGGCGGAAGCATGAAGAGGAGTTGACTGAAGATACAGTCGTAACCATGGGAGACATGTCCCATTCACAAGCCACCCCGCAAAACTCTCTGCAAACGCCGCTTTCCGCGCGCCGCCTGGACAAAGCTGTCATTGCCGAATCACCATTGGCAAGGTCGTAACGGATTTGACAATACATGCATGTGAGTGCATGTCTGTGTATCTGCACGGTTCACGCCCTGTGTTGGAAATGGTGCAAGATTAGCGTCGCTGCCATTCTACTTGTGTTTCTCTCAGCACCCAGCGTGAGCTAGATGTTACTTTCAACTATTCAGCAAGCTTCCCACCTTTTAATCGACCTGTGTACCTGCTGGCGTTTGTGCTCGTGTGTGTGTGCTCGTGTGTGTGTGTATATGTGTGTGAGTGCGAGCGCATGCGCGGGCACACACGCAAGCTGCAGCTACGGAATTAGTCAGCATTGCCTCGCGCTGTCTGCATGCAGGCACATGTCACTTGCTGCCCGTCTCACATATCCTTACAGCCCATCGTGCCCTGTCAGGTATCCAAGCAGCTTTCAAGTATAATATGAATAGGGTTATGCTTTGTTTTGTTTTTTTAATTTTATATCCACATTACACATGCTATTGTTTGGAATAGCATCATACTTCATACAAACATGTGCCATCCTGCTTTACATAGAAAGGTTCTTCCCTTGTAGTCCCCCATAGCTATGTGCATGTTGTGCAATGGCCAGGCCGCTTTCCATGTGCTGTTTCTTTTTACCGTTACAAATGTCACCCTGTAAAGATTGCTAGTGAAGGCTGCAGATTGCCTAGCTCTCGCCTTGCTGTGCTACGTACTTCAAACAGGCATGTGGAATGTCCATAACGTTAGTGTTTCAGAAATATTTATTACCGCTACTTCTCTAGTCGGTGAAGAGAAAGGAGTGTTGCTCACAGTGAAGACCTATGAGACTGCGTAATATTCTACCAAATTTGTTATTCAAGGACAAAAAAAATATGTCCTGGCAGAACTTCAAGTATTTTAATTTTTTAAACACATCATCAGGACACTGCATTATATTCATGTATGTCATGCACTATGACATTGTAGTGTGTGCACGTACATATGTCATTGTATGAACTGTCAATTCGCTCAGCCTGTGAAATGCCTGTGTACGGGTGTAGTCTACCTGTCCCCGGGGGAAAATCGCGGAAAAAATCCCTGGATTTGCGGGTAAATATGGCATAATTTGCTGTGAATTTGCGGTAAATATGCGGTGAATATTATTGATATGCGGCAAGTTTGCAGTTCATATGAGGCAATTTTCAGTGAGTGTAGTGAAATCAATCAGTTACGTTATATACGTTACAAGTCTCTGGTGTAAGCACTCGTCATACTTGAGTACAAAGCCGCCACGATGCGACGTTGCTGACCGAACAGTGCAGTGTGTGTACGTGTAGTGCAACAAAAAAAGTTCAAAAAACGCGGGGGAAACCCGCGGAAAACGCAGTCTTTTAAAAAAATTGCAAAAAACGCAACCGCGGAATCGCGATTTTCCCCCAGGGGCAGGTCTACTTGGCTTACAGCGACTCGCATATGATATCATATGCACCTCCATATGCATGCACACACAAACACACTAAATCTTGTACTTGCTCACTACCAAAACTGGTCACGTGGGTCTCCCGGCAGAAGGGCCTACATGTAGGGAGAGTTTCAAAAGGAATCTTGGAAAGGTGAATCGCTGCTGAACCGTCGAACGGCTGACATCCCCTGGAATCCCCAAACTCTGTGTGGACTTGGAAATGATCCCACTTATGGGTTCGCTACACCTCAACGAGTGGGTTAGGACAAGGTGCAGAAAGAGGATTTGCGGCATCAGGATACCCGTCCCGGGATCCAACTACATTTATCCCCTGCCTCCTGTAAAGGTAATACTTGCTACTAGTGTGAGTGGTTAAAAATCAGAGTGGATCTGATAAAGGCTTCACTAACACACACACACACACACACACACACACACACACACACACACACACACACACACACACACAAACACACACACACACACACACACCATATTGTACAGAGTGATACAGCGTATTGCCTTTCAACTATATACATTGTAGTCCATTCAGACAATTGGATCATGGTGCTGCAACATTATGATTGTACCGGTATACTATAAGGGGAATTATCCTCACATGCAGGTCGAATCTGTGGTGAGTCCAATGTCACGATTTTCTGCAAGAAACAATACTCTCGCTGGGTGTCTGTTTGACATCGTCACCATGGAGATGTACAAGCCCATACAACTCCCTCATTACAATGATAGGCGGTACCTTACGCATGATGCAACTAATACTTCATCTGGAAGCAAGGTTTCAAGCTGCTCCTCACCTCACAAAATTTCGGATTAGATTTTTCCCGTGTAATTACGGGTATTTTCCTATGCAAAACAATGTGTGCGTACACGAGTTTTCTTGTTATACTAGAAGAATGAATACGATCGCAATTCTCAAGAACTAAGCAACATCCAATAATGCTAGTAGATCAGGGGTTATCAATGGCAAAGGCAATGAGACTAAAAAAAAACAATGCATTGGCATTCAGGATTTCCAAACCAAGACATTGTAAAAATTAAAAAGATAAAAAAATAGCATCTTTGACATTGTCCTTAATATGACTGCTTCCAAAAAATTGCAACAAGGAAAACATGTCACATGGAACCTTGGCTCACCATCTGAGTTCTTAAAATGCTTCCAAAACAGCTTCTTGTTTACTCCTTGCTGAAACGTCAATGGTGGAGATAATATAAAAATCAAGACAAAGAAAAAGCTGCTACGGCGACTACAGTAGGATAGTTTCTGTTGAGCATGGACTGAGTCGGTGAACTGCTACTGCTGTTGCTGTTGTTGTTCTTGCTGCTGTTGCTGTTGTTGTTCTTGCTGCTGCTACTGCTGTTGTTGTTGGTGTTGCTGCTGCTGCACGGTGGGATGTATAGTGGTCATGATAGGAGCTTGCACACCCACGTGGACTAAAACAAAAGCACCAGGACAGATTGCACTGCATACAGCACACATGTAGCCAGACATTCCTTCACTTGGCAGGCAAAACACCCAGTCGGGACGAAGCAATGTACACGACAACAACGCTCTGACGCCTCACATTAGCATGCCTCACGTTGCCACCTCCAGTAGACAGTGCTACCTCTGCCACACTCCGTCAGCTATCACTTGGCTTCTGCACAACACAAGCACGTACGCGCACAGACACACACATGAACACACACACACACACACGTGCACATACACACAGACACACCCGTGCGCACACACACATGCACAGACACACGTAAACATTTACAACAAAGCACAGGCTGGGTCCTAATAATTCAAAAACTTTTTTTCTTTTTTTTTCTTCTCCTCCCCTTCTCCCTTCCTTGCCGTGGTTGGCTAACACCCTCTCTCTTTGTATTGGCCGGTGTTCTCACTGTGCTATGAGATGCTGTAATAAATAAATAAAATAAATAAATACACGTTTGCCAAGTGTTGTGAACCCTCTGGTTCTCTAAAGTATCAGGAACGAACGACCCCACACGGCACGAGGACAACTATTTATTCTCAACAGTATATTTCACTTCCATCGACTAATAACAATGAACAATGAATGGAACAACTGAATAACTAACACTAAAACCACCAGGTAGTTATAGCGTGAAAATGACAGCGTATATGAGAAAAGCATACACATACAACATACAACTACAGCGCACACAGCAAACCGCACATAGCGCATGTAGCGTATACTACGTCGTAAACATCAGCGGTACGGCGGAGTCGGGATACAGCTGCATTGGAACGAACACAATGTCACAAGCGAGAAGGCCTTTCACTCTCGAGAACTTGTGGTTTCACAACATTCTCCCCACCAAAGGGCTTCTCACCGCCGTACAACAACTCACAAGTCAAACGATTTGGGGCTTACTACGCGTCATCTGCTGCTGCGGTGGTGGCCATGGTAGAATATCACTAATGCCCACCAATTCAGAAAACTCGACATCGCGAAGCTTGCCGCTGTGGACTGTCGCACACGACACTGTCACCGATCCACTTCGACATGGGGCAGACGCTGGACCAGACAACACACCACCGATAATGTCATAAAGCTCGACGATGTGGGCTGTCACACACGACATGGTCACCGGTACACTGCTTCGACCCGGGGCGGGCGCGGAATCCGAGGACACACATCGGATCTTTGTGTTCCACACAGTCTCGCCGCTTACTTCTTCCGTGCTAACCAGTAGTATCGCCCTTCTTATTTTCTCGGCTTCTACGCCTTGCGTTTCTAAGTCTTGCGCCTCTAACTCTTCCGCCCTTAACTCTTGCGCCTTTACTCTTGCGCCTCCAACTCTTGCACCTCCAACTCTTGCGCCTCCAACTCTTGCGCCTCCAACTCTTGCGCCTCCAACTCTTGCGCCTCCAACTCTTGCGCCTCGACGTCTTGCGCCTCTACGTCTTGCGCCTCGACGTCTTGCGCCTCGACGTCTTGCGCCTCTACGTCGTTCGGCCGAGACTCCAGCTGCTTCTGAGCGTCTCCGACCGATGTCGCCATGCTCTGTACCGACGCAGTGGGCCTTGGATCTGATCCTCCCGCTGGCTTCAAGTACTCTTCTGACCGCTGCTTGTCTGTAAGCAAAGTCTTACACGCCTTGTTTGGCGTCCTTCCGGGCGAGGCAAGCAAATCTCGCTTTGCTTCCTCATAATATGTACTGACGGCGATGCGCTCGGCCATCTTCTTGAGCTTTTCGTTAAACTCTGTGCGGAGCGCACACTCTTGCCGTCTAGCACCGCGCTCTTCAAACTCCTCGCTCTGTCGGAGCCTCTTCTCCACGTATTCTCTCAACCTATCGCCTTCAAATCCATACCGAATTCCGTTGGCGATAAAGCTGGCTTCAATGATCCATAGTTCCTGTGCCATGCTCGCTTCGTATCCTGGCGTGGTCGCCAAATGTTGTGAACCCTCTGGTTCTCTAAAGTGTCAGGAACGAACGACCCCACACGGCACGAGGACAACTATTTATTCTCAACAGTATATTTCACTTCCATCGACTAACAATGAACAATGAACGAATGAACAACTGAACAACTAACACTAAAACCACCAGGTAGTTATAGCGTGAGAATGACAGCGTATATGAGAAAAGCATACACATACAACATACAACTACAGCGTGCACAGCAAACCGCACATAGCGCCTGTAGCGTATGCCACGTCGTAAACATCAGCGGTACGGCGGAGTCGGGATACAGCTGCATTGAAGCGAACACAATGTCACAAGCGAGAAGGCCTTTCACTCTCGAGAACTTGTGGTTTCACAACACCAAGAAAGCACTTCTAAAGATCTGGCCACTCCAAGTACTAACATGGTGATATGAATGGTAAAGGTCTAAAGGAAAATAAACTCACCTACTGTAAGACATGTTATTATAACGAGTCGCAAATTTAACGATTGTCCAAAATTCATAGGTTAATGAGAAGATATGTTAACGATCTTGCAGTATTCTGCCATATCCACACACAGCATATATGAAGCAGTACGGCCTCAACGGATCTTATTATAACGAAGAAATGTCATCCGTTAAAACGTTAGATTTGCTTCCTCGTTATATATACATGTCTTACAGTAAATACCCCCCCCCCCCCCCCAACAAGAGTAACAAAAGATCACGGGAACTGGGCTACACCAGCGATGCTGCAAGCGCCAAGTTATGCTGTGTAGTAGCTATCTGTTTAAAGATTACTTGAGTAGAATAATGGACTCAGGTCTTCGCACATAATACACATGTACGTACACACACACATAGACAGCCCGCCAGCCAGGCAGACCGACACACATACAAACGCACTTCTACTTGCGCACTGCCAAAAGCTGGTCATGCGAGTCTCCCCCAGGGAAAAAAAGGGGGAGAGGTCCAGAAGAAATCTTGGGAAGACGATTGGTGCTCCTGTGGCTATTGAATGTCGAACGGCCCACAAACCCCAAACCCTTACTCACGGGTGGACTTGAACACACATGCACGATCCCACTCATGGGTTCACCACATCGCAGTAAGGAGGGGAGGACAGACTGTGTAGAAAAACAAGTAAACAACATCAGGGTATCCGTCCCAGGATCCACCTTAACCCCCCACCCACCCACCCACCCACCCAGTGAAGGTAACGCTTGATACATGTACTATATGGGCTGCTAAATCAGAGGCTTCATAGCACCATTGAGTACACAAGACACCCACACACCCACCAACTGAAAGTATGCATTACCAAAGGTCCAACGTAGCATTGGCTGAGCAGATCTCTAGCTCGCCGAGTGTGGCCCACACGTCGGAATGCAGCAGTGGCGTTAGTTCCTGAAAAAGGCAAAATGGTGGCACAGAAAAAACACAGAAAGAGGACAATCCTTTGCTAGACGGCTAATCATACAGATTCAAAGCAATGTGCCGGCTATATGGTCAAACATATGCTCAAGTAAGATTTGAACAAGTAAGATTTGAACAAGTGCATAGGAAGCAGCATGTTACCTGTACTCAGCAGTCTGGCGTAAAGCAAGTTACTGTAAAAGCAGAAATTTTCGGTGGTGTAATATTTTCGGTATTCTCCAAAATCGGCGGTTCGGCGGAGGGAAATTTTCGGTAAACCCGCGTTCCAGGTAAGTGTACTAGTACTATACCGGCATTTTCGGTGCGTTTTATTTTCGGTAAAAATTTCGGCACCCAAGTTACCGAAAATAAAACACCACCGAAAATTTCTGCTTTTACAGTAGGTGTGCAACTCCCTACTTCCTCTTGTACTGGGTGTACGGAGAAGAAAAGCGGTGAGGGTCAGAAGATAACCTGATTGAAAAGAAACCCCATCTACAGAAAAAAACAATCCACAACGATTCTACTTGAATCTATATAACGTTACCACTATGCACCGTGTACTGCACTTCGGAGCCTTGATTTAGTTCCCACCCCTACCAAAATCCAGCTGGGAAGGGACATGACGGGGAGGGAGAGATCAACGGGACTTTAAGGTATCAAGTACTTCAAAGTATCAACTTACAAATGGACACCTCTACAAGTAGTAGCTCTTACCGACAAACTTCAGCAAAATTTCTTTTCCTCCCGGGTGCTAAAACAGTAGAAGCAAACACATTCGCCCAACAGGCAATGCTGATGTCATGCTCTACAAGTATAACGACATTGTACAGATAACCTCAAATTGACAGGCAGACCACACGCACGCAAGGTAAGTCAACATAATTCTAAACCACCGGCCTACAAGCCAAAAGCCAATACGACTACTAGTAGTCACATATACACCCAGGCGTCTCTTATCCGGACGCTTCAGATACGGGCATGTCTCTCTACCGGGCACCTTCAGCTTGAGTTAATATGGCAAAGGCGCTTCAATTTTGGGGTTGCTTTCAATCGAGTGCACACACATGCTCATTTTAAAGCTCTTGCACTACCAACCTGTATAATCCACACATTTTCATTAATGGATCCTGTACATAAAAAAGGGTTTGCTCCCCACACCGGAGCTCGCGCTATTCCGCCGACTTTACTTGACACTTGACTGACTCACGACTGCCATCCAGAGCACACGAGAAGTCCATCGAACCTTCGACTCGGCAAACCTGCAAGAAAGCACCACTCCCTGCTCAATACACAGTGTTTCGGGGAATTCACCCCTCATCAGTTGAGCTTGAGTAGGCTGAGGAAGATTGTGCCTGAAGAGCACCACTTATATAGTGCTCTCCAGGCACAAACATCACCAGGGATACAAACTTACAGAGACGCTCCGGGGAGCAAACCCTTTTCTTACAAATCATCGCCGAAGTCGCAACCACTACTTCGTACTGTTGTGCCCAGCGCGGGCTTGCGACTAGTTGGTTTGGAGGTGACAGCGTTGCGAATGACCGAGGGTCCTCGACGTCTGTCTCACCGTCCAGGAGCGACACTGACTCACGCTGCTATCTGGTGTTCACGAGGTGTTTGTCGCGCTGAAAACGGAGCGTCTCTGTAAGTTTGTATCCCTGGTGATGTTTGTGCCTGGAGAGCACTATATAAGTGGTGCTCTTCAGGCACAATCTTCCTCAGCCTACTCAAGCTCAACTGATGAGGGGTGAATTCCCCGAAACACTGTGTATTGAGCAGGGAGTGGTGCTTTCTTGCAGGTTTGCCGAGTCGAAGGTTCGATGGACTTCTCGTGTGCTCTGGATGGCAGTCGTGAGTCAGTCAAGTGTCAAGTAAAGTCGGCGGAATAGCGCGAGCTCCGGTGTGGGGAGCAAACCCTTTTCTTACAAATCATCGCCGAAGTCGCAACCACTACTTCGGATCCTGTACATGCACCATTATAAACTTCATCCAAAACTGATATGATACATGGTAGACGAGTTGTAGGTTGTAAGAGCAGCTGGCAGTTCTACACACGCAGTGCGGAATACGCTGCATAGTACCCTCTGTGTCCTGGGCAAATGTTCAGCAGAATCAGGTATTTTAGCGCAGTAAACAGAGCGAGGTCAACATTGAGTACACACACCATAGGCAAGAACTATGTTTCCTTGAGCGCTTTCGTCACCGTCTCTTCAGAAGGCTACTGGCAAATCAAATCAATGTAATAAGTTAGTAATAACGCAATACCATGTGAAGTAACAGTTCATCCACCGTTCGTAGAGAGTTTAATTTGCCGAAGCAAAGAGCGGAATACACAGACAGAAGAACAAGCAGTTGATTTCCTTAACTCTGAGTTTCACGAACTGAATCGATCATCAATTTTCATCTGACGATCGATTCAGTTCGTGAAACTGAGTTTAATATGAAAAACAACTGCTCGTTCTTCTGTCTGTGTAATAACGCAATATAAATTCAAATTCTTGATACTTGCCTATGGTGTGTCTACTCAGTACGCAACTCACTCTATTAATTTAGTGCGTTCATATTAAATTATCGTTCCTATCTCTGTGGAAACTTTTTAGAATAGGCTATCTTCATGATTACCCCCCCCCCCCCCCCCCCCCTGCATCCTCTTCCCTCAAATGGGAGGTAAATGTATGCATCAAATATGGCCGGCATCTTTTGGATCGTACAATCAGCAGTCATTTGTGAGTACTTAACATGAAGTATGACCAAGAGTACATAAGCTCCCTAGCGTGTACAACTCCCGATATCCCTTTTACGGGGTCCATTGACGGCGAAAACTCACATAACGTGGTGTAGTGTTCCCGTTGTGCGGCTCCAGCCTGTTTTTAGCGAGCAGTGGAGTTGAAAAATAGCACCCCTGACAGAATCCACCCAGCTTTATGCAAGCAAGAGTACATAACCAAGAGTGTGCAACTCAACGATCCCCCGGCCGCGGCCCATGGCGGAATTTTATTTATGACATCAGTCTTTGGTGGCTGTTGGGCTCACTGCTGCCATCATGTGTAGCCAGAGATCAAAGTACAAAGGATTTGTACATCGCAGCTATGGTAATTGAAGCAGAACGACGGACGACAGATCGATGTGTCCTGAACCTGATGACTCACCATATCTACAAAAGAAGCGCGAGAAAGCATACACACTTGATCATCCTTCTGCCAAAGAATGCCGCAGTAAAAAAATGTCGCCGTGGGTGAACCCATCACAGCACAAGATAGGAGTTGCGCACTCTTGGTTATGTACTCTTGATGCATGTCATCAGTATGATCTTGGCAGATATTCAGACTGCGCGTACGCGAGCCTTCGTTGTACGTAGTACAATCGAACTTGGAACACGCGATGCGAGTTTTCACCGTGGCGTCGGAGACCCTGTATGCAGAGTTGCACACTCTTGGGAGCTCATTTACTCTTGGTATGACCAAGAGTGTATAACCCCCAAGAGTGCGCAACTGCCTGCACAACCTCTATGCAGTGCTGCGACGGCAGAACTTCACATCACGTGACATGGTTCAAAAGGTTACACTGGCAAACAGTGCAAAGTGACCACAAGAGAGTTGTACCCAAAGCTGGGTTGCGTTCAGCCCTGTATCAATCATGCACAGAGTGCAAATAAAGTGTATGGGTTCATCACGTGATGTGAAGTTCTGCCGTCGCAGACCCCGGGCCCCATAGCTGGAGTTGGATACTCTTGGGGGTTATGTACTCTTGGTATGACTGTACACAGTCCGTGACCTTTTACCCAGAAGTGCTGGCGGTATCACAGTGAATACAAATGTGGACTTGCCTTAGGCTGTGTTTACATGAGAAATTTCAACCCGGGTCGAGTTCAGCCCGGGTTGAAAGTCTGTACGATAGACAAAATAGGTGAGCGTTTATATGAAGACAGTTGACCCGGGTCAAATACTGATATGCCGCCAAAAGTCCACTTCTAGAGTCCTGTATGGTCACGTGAATCCGTTCGCGCGAAAATTGCATGTGCAGTGCTGTTCAAACCTGGCACGAGATACGCACAGAAGTACGTTTGTACGATTTTCTTGACCCGGGTTGATTTCAACCCTCCCCTTGGAGAGGAGGGTTGAAATCAACCCGGGGCAAAATTTCAACCCGGGTCAAGCGCAATGCGTCATGTAAACGCGCCATTCATTTTGTGCACATGGCGGGTTGAAATCTGACCCGGGTTGAACTCAGCCCGGGTTGAAACGCCTCATGTAAACACAGCCTTACAAAACCTATGTACTACAGTCGTCCCTCTCTAATCCGGCACTTGTTTATCCAGCACCCTTGCAAACCAGCACACTTTCTGGCAAAACGGATTTTTTCAGTTCATTTTCTACGCTTTAATCCGGCACTTGAATTCCGCCTCCAGCAGCGATTTTCTGCAACAAATCACTCAAACTATACATAATTCGATTTTCTAATCCAGCAGTTGTACATCGCATACCGTCAGGGAGCATTGTACCATACACAACACATGTAACATACACTTGGGAATATCCTATGCCAGTGCATAGGATATTCCCAAGTGTATGTTTAAGACATGCATTCCACAAAGTACTTGGATTGACACAGAAAATCCCTACGTTTTGACGTACGACACAAATAACAGGTGGGCCGGGTTGGAGGGCAGGATTTGATAATCCAGCACCCTTGTTTATCCAGCAGAAAATGCCGTTGCAAAAGGTGCCGGATTAGAGAGGGACGACTGTATTTGTACTTGTAGGGCATGTTTCCGTAGATCCCGGATCCCCCAAATTTGGACCTGTTTGGCTGTACAGATCTGGATCCAGGTCACACGGATTCACTCGATGTGCCAAATTTGAAAAATCACTTCAAAACACCATTTTCCATTTTTTCAGATGCACCTGTTTGTACACTCTCCTGAAGACATTCCCAACATTTGGTCATTTGAATGCAAATACACTGCTTGGCAGTCTCACGCTTTCGATACGTTAGTCGTCACACTGGATGATTCAGTCGTCGCCTTTCACCCTTTTTACGAGTGGAGTTCTTTTTAAGCACACACTTCCTGGAGTTCTTTAAGAACAACGAAATTCTGCAGTCTGGTGTCTCTACATGTCATCTTGTCTCTTTGTCTGTTCTTCGTCAAAATTTCGTCGTCCGACCTATAATTCCGTGCCACCGAATTGACCAGGCATTTCGCTGCTTCTATTCGCGGCATGCCGGATCGTGCACTTACTTCAATGTACTCATTATGTCAGGGTTTAGGCATACATGTACAACAGTTTCATGCAGACAAAGTAACGATGAGTTTTCACACCTCACTCAAGTGCATGCAGCGCACCCTGCACTATCACTTGTTGCTGCTGGCTGCATGCACTCGCTTCTGAGCGCACTCTAACCCTGTTGCAGTCAAGCCTGCCAGCCAGGACAGTACCGTATTTTCCAGAGTATAAGCCGCACGTTGAACACTCAAAATTCACCCCCCAAAAAGGGGGTGCGGCTCATAGTCATACTTGATGATTAAATTAACGGTGATAAAAAGGATAGAAGTCTGTATTTCACGGCTTATACTCCAGTGAGGCGCATACTCCGGAAAACACGGGACTTGTGGTCGCTGTATGCAGGTCAGATACGGCACTTCATAGACTAAAAGTCGGTCGCTGGAAGGGAAACGCAAGTGGTCGATGGGCGACACGATTCAAAAGAGTCAGTATTTGTGACATTGCAGCGGAAGTTACGCTCCTGCCCAATACCAGGCATGCCTCTGGTAATGTGCTTTCTAACGACAAGTAGCGTTCTTGAACTTTCTTCCCCTATATTTTCCATGCAGGTGTGCACAGATGTCAGCGGCAGGAAGACCCAGCAATGCCACAAGCATACATCCTGGACAACCACATGGCCCACAGTGCAGCATATGTTCCAAAGTTCCACCTGACAAGTGGTTCACACATGGATCAATGCTGTCAGATTGGCAAAAGCTTCACACACGAACATCCATCACGTCAGAACAATGCATTTGTTGGAAATGTGTCAAAGCACTACGACGCCAAGTATCCACAGCAGTGAAAGAAAAAAAGCCACCAGTCAGCAAAACGACATGCAGCGTACATGATTGCAGCACAGCCGCCTCAGTACACTGCCCTGCAGACAAACTGCATGTACAAACTTTGAAAGAACAATGCGAACCAGTTCTGTGCCTGGCCCATTACCAGCAATGTGTGGGCCATGCTACATGTGCTTGGTACAAGTCCAGGATCTCATGTCGTATCAGCTCACAGGTGGAAGGCACCTAACTTTTCGCTTTCGGAGCATGTTATGCGTAGCACGCATGCGGGTTTCACGGCGTGCAAGGCCACCTTTTCTGAGCTCGTCATTGTCAGTTTTTCTTGCTTTCCGGGAGCTATGTCGTCCAACACCATTGCCCCCCCAGTGGTAATGAACGGAAGTCTGGGATCCACTGGAACCGTGCTTAGACGTTAGCCTTGATACAGGCCAGATGCAGTTGGGACCAACAATTCAATGATGTAAACTGCAAGAAGAAACGTCTTTGGCAGAGGACCTCCACCGAGCTTATTGAAGATTTCAAGGAAAAGGCTCTTTTACCTTCGGCTGACCAATGCGAAAACAGGTGGAATTTTTGATGACTTGCTGCCCACTCTCACCCCACCGTCCGCCTCTTACGGTTGTTCCGCGTTCTCTCTCTCTCTCTTCGTTCGTAGATGCAACGGACACCGGCGAGTTGTGAGTCTGAGATAGAGTTACTGCAGCTTGAACGAGCGCAACCTGCTGGCAGTGCTGCTACTGCATATGCCCAACCACTTCCTGCTGCGGTCGAGTGTTCTTGCTGCCGCTGCACGTACCTAAACGTCTGCCGCCGCTACACAAACCCAACCTGCTGGCACTGGCTTAGCAGATGTACATACTCCTGCTGCCGCCGTCGTTTGCAACCAGCCAGAACGAGCGGGAGCCAAGAAGAGAAGGAGAAGAAGCGCAACCTCCACGCACACACAATGGGTGGTCTTGCATGGTCGAAAGACCAGAAAGAAGAGGACAAGAAGATACAAGGCCAGCGCCACTTCCAGCAAATGACTTCACTTGCCAACCTCATTGCTGCTGTTAACCAACTCTTGGCGGGGATCCAGATGCCGGTGCCACAATCAAATGCAGTCCTATGGCAGTAAAATGATACATGCATATGTTCCATTGAATAAACTCTAAATTGTAGGCAATGGGTCTAAGTTTCGATTGGGTTTTATCTTATTCTATACGCAGATATTTGGTGTGAACACATTGACAATTTTTACTGAACACAAGCCGACCAAAATGGCGAACGTGGTGTTGTTACCATTGATGGCAGCTGTGCGTGTGCATGTGTGTCTGTGTGTGTGCATGCGTGTATGTGCATGTGCATCCATGTATGTGTTCACCTTTCACGTACACTTGATTACAGTGCAGACGGGAAAAACACACAGGGTGATACAGAAAGAGAAACAGAAGAGAGCCAGTCCAGCCGTCTCTAACCTGGCTTAGAAACCCAGTGACATCATAGACCTTGTCTTCAATCACCATCAGACATGTGTCTCGCTTGTTGCTCAGCCGTTGCACATCGGATAGGGTGAAAGAACTGGGAAGTGGAGGCCTGTTGCTAGCAGCTCGTTGTCCGCCTACTGACGAATTGAAGTATGGGTGTAAACTCATATTATTAATCTCAGTCTAAATCCAGTTAAACACACAGAGAGTGAACGCGATAAAGAGAAAGAGAGAGAGAGAGAGACAGACAGACAGAAAGAGAGAGAGAGAGAGAGAACGAGGAGAGAACGAAGAGAGAGAGACAGAGAACGAGGAGAGAGAGAACGAGGAGAGAGAGAGAGAGAGAGAGATAGAGAGAGAGGAGAGAGAGGGAGGAGAGAAAGAGAGAGAGAGAGAGAGTGTGAGAAATAGCGGAGCTGGGAATTGATTGCCAGATATTATAAGACTTAGATCTAGATTCAGCGACCATCCTTGAGACTGGCCTACCGCAGTCAACGCACGAGGTGTCACGACACCTGGGCGATTGCTGCATATTCAACACATGATGTGCCAAAGGGAAGTGGTTGTACCAGTCAGGTGGTCGCCAGGGTTAGCCTGTACAGTAGAGACTATTACGATCGAATATCTGGGACCACATTCTGCAGCCTTTATGCGCTGAACAGCGTTAATACACATTCTGCAATTCTGTTGCACAAGGCTTGAAACGCCCGACACTGGTCACAACACCAACTTGAAAATGGACCAAAACAGACAAAGATAGGATGGCAGACAACGGGAAAAGACTACCCGAGTAATGATGATGCTGACGTGAATCAATGGGCATGTACAGTAGAACATCGATTATCCAACCAATCGACTACATGTGTCCTGAATCAGTGTGGGAGTGCACGCGGCACACTCCTCATTGCTCCCCTTCATGTGCTGTTTGGCATATTATTATGTGTGTCAACTGTCAAGTACAAGTACTGTAATGGCGAGTGATCCCACACATGTATGCGATTGTATTGGAATGCACGTGTAGTCATGTATAGCAGTTCTGACTGAACTAATACTCCAATATGCGTGCGTGTGGTCCCCAAATAGTGTACATGAAGGTGTGCTGGACGATATGCGCGTCCGGAATAATAGCCATGTCCCTGAACAAACACCCGGCTAGCTATACCCAGACGTGGTTGGATAATCAATGGTCAACTGCACACCGGGTAGTTATACTTATAGCATCTAGGCACACGGCACGGGCACGTGCAACGAAAACGAGGCGCTTTTTTTGCTCCGGGGCTGCCCGTTCCAGTCCTGACTGTCCCCTGGGGCAGGGCCGATTTACGCATGCTTACATATACCGTAAAGTACCGTTGATCCGCCCCCTCTCTAATTCCCGCCCCCTCTCTAATTCCCGCCCCCTCTCTAATTCCCGCCCCCTGTCGATTTTCCACCTGTGAAGCGACTTCAGCGTATACACCGAGAATACGATGTTGAACCGACGCATGCACTGCTGTACACAATATTAATTTGCCAATCCAGGATGAAAATGTGCGCAATCCAGCACATCGAGTCTGAACTTCTACGTTGTTGTACATCGTACTGCACTTGACAGCCTTGATCTAATTCCCGCCCCCTGCCGAAAATCCAGCTGGGAAGCGACATGGCGTGGGGGCGGATCAACGGTACTTTACGGTATATGCCGTCGCTGGTCTGGGTCGCGTTCAGGGCCAGCAGGTCACAGCCCAGACTAAGTAAGGACCATGCGGAATTTTCCCATCTGGGGTCGAAACATACATTGTCCCGGATACTTTGCCTATGGTCTCCCTTGTTTACCCTATTGAGTGAGATTGAACTTACTGTCTTCAGAGGGAGGGAGAGATCAACCAAGGATGTAACGTCACCGGTCCACTTGTCAATCTACACTCGACTCAGCACGACAGCAGCAAGTTAATGATGCATATCGTCATCCACTACACCATCATACTACATCATTACAATTATGTAGCTGTCCCAGCAACAAACATTCTACTTTCTAGCACAGCAAAGTCCTTTTTTCGGAGTAATTAGGCATGCTCCATCGAGCTCCTAAACTAAAAAGTAGGCTAATGACCTGCCCGAAAAGGCTAGATCAACAGTCCCCAGTACTAGTGACTGTGTGACATGGGGATTCTGAAAACACAGACACGCAACTCGACTGTACTGTGTACATCTATTTTCTGTTTCAAAACAGAAGGAAGAAAGGCTTTTTGTTTGTCTTTCAAACGTCAACACGACAACAATGTTGTAGTCAGACAGTAGACTACAGTAGACTCTCGTACAGTAGATCCAAAAGTACTCCACACGTAGATCTACGTACGTACATATCGATCATCATGCATAGATCATATGTACGTGCAATAATCCGTGCATGCAGTTCGAACAAAGGTACACGTGCTATACACGTGATGTTTCACACATGTAACAAAAAATACCAAAAATGAACCACACGATATGCGATATTTGTATGATTTGAATGTGTTTGAAAAAAATGAAATTTCTCGTCAAGAAGTTATTTTCGCCAGAGCCTATGCAGTTGCAGGGAGGCCGGCACCTACATTATTATTTTCACTGTTAGAGATGAACAGTGTTTATCATGCAAGAATGTGAAGAAGTGTTCGTCTTGCTGGGTGACGAGGGCAGAGTTTCGCGCCACTTCAGGTCAATTTGGCTGCTGGACAATCTTTACCAACCTGTGTCAACTGAAGAGGTCAGTCACTGAGCAATGAACAGTTGCTCGATACGAGACGGAGTGGTGGCCAGAATATGCCACATCAATGATTCACTAGTCAGAGTTGATCGGGATGGGGGAAATTTAATCGCAATAATATCTTTGGCTTTGCAGTGTGCACGTCCAGCCTCGTACAAGTCTAGTACATGACATCCTCTATTCTGATTTTATGAATACATGATTTGAGACACCAGTCAAGGGAGAAAGAAAGAGAAATGAAAATGAAAGTAAGGAGAGAGAGAGAGAGAGAGAGAGAGAGAGAGAGAGAGAGAGAGAGAGAGAGAGAGCTGTCCCTGGGGAAAATCGCGGAAAAAATCCCAGAATTTGCGGGTAAATATGGCATAATTTGCAGTGAATTTGCGGTACATATGCGGTGAATATTATCAAGAGTACATGAAAACCAGAGTGTGCAGATCGGATGGGTTGCTGGCACGCCGGAATTCCGTGATTACATCATTTTTAGTGATGTAGTGCGTACAAGCAGGATTCAAGCAGGTCTCTTTCTGCACAACTGCAGCTCAGTTGTACTCACTACGCCATTTCCCGCCTCAGATCTGCACCAAATATGATGTAATCATGGAATTCCGCCGTGACAGACACCCATAGGAGAAAAGGCCCCAAGCTGCACACTCTGGTTTTCATGTACTCTTGATATTATTGATATGCGGCAAGTTTGCAGTTGATATGAGGCAATTTTCAGTGAGTGTGACTGTAGTGAAATCAATCAGTTACAAGTCTCTGGCCATGTGTATGCTAGGGAGCGCGCACCCTACACGTAGACTCTCTACTTGACCAGTTTGTAACGTCAACGGCTCACAAACGGTCAACCGAACAGTGCAAAAAAAGTTCAAAAAACGCGGGAAAATCGCGGAAAACGCTGTCTTTTAAAAAATCGCAAAAAACGCGGAAAAAAATGGGCCGCGGAATCACGATTTTCCCCGGGGACAGAGAGAGAGAGGGAGAGAGAGAGGGAGAGAGAGAGAGAGAGAGAGAGAGAGAGAGAGAGAGAGAGAGAGAGAGAGAGAGAGAGAGAGAGAGAGAGAGAGAGAGAGAGAGAGAGAGAGAGAGGTGTGTGTGGATCAGAAAACAGCAGATTGTTATAGTCACGTAAATACATGCGCTTTCTAAAAACATGAACTTTCATGATGTGGCCCAGGCTCATTTGCAAAGTATGTCAAAATATCACTGACCGTGCATTCCACCAATTGCAATGTACACATGCTTGAAATAGTGCTAGAGATTGAGTTCAACTTCTTTCCTTTTTTGGTTTGTGACAAAATTGGCGGATTTACCCGATTTCCCAGGCATGATATGAACCAGACCTACGTCCCAGATTGGGTATAGTCATAATAGCTCTGCACATAGCAGCAGCTCATGATCCTGGCTTTGGTGAATTAGCCCTGTGCCGGCTGTGGTCATAGGTGCCGTAGAATACCGTATTTCCCCGATTTTAAGTCACACCCCCATTTTCAGGTTTCAGACATACTGTTTCATTGTATTCACAGAAGTAGGTTGGCACACTCGATTGTGCATCACTCCCCCTTCTTTGCCCTTGAAGTTTAGTGTTAAAAGGTGTGACTTATATTCGGGGAAGTACGGTGATTTGAAATGCAATGAAAATGGTCAAGTCCTACCTTCTATTCTGGCACATTATACTTCGTTTGTGGTCGACTGGAATTGTTGCAGAGAACTACAGACGATGGCTCTTTCACTATACTCTCTGCCACACGAGCTGCCGGCGGCAAAACACTTCCCAGTGCCAATGCTCCGGATGGTGGTAAAACAGCGCAGGATGCGGCAGATGGAGACAGCCAGTCGTTGCTGCATATCGGACCCAACACGCAGGTTTGTTGTGAATGTATGATATTTTGTAGAGTCGATCTTTTCCCCTGCAAACTGTAGTTCTAGATGAACATTCCCCTGCCGGCTGGCTGTAGTTCTGTACGGACTGATGCATCAGCTGGGTTTGCAGGAGTTTGGTGCATGCTCTGGTCGTTCCTTTGCTTATGTTTTGGAAAGGCGCGAGACAGAACGATAACACCAGTGCTTTCTTGTTTCTGTGTAGGTTACCTTCTTCTCACCGCGATATTGCCTCGTCTTCATGCTTGACGTGAGCCCGTCAATGCTGACGGTGGTAAGCAAACCTGCAGCCTCCATTCAGGTCCAGGAGCTCAGAGGGCTTTTTGTCTACACACGTGTGATATGGAGTATTGTAATACAGGGTTGTTGGTGTTGTGCCCCCCCCCCCCCCCCTCCCTCAAGTCCCCCCCCTCAATAACTCCCCTCGAATCCCCCCCCCGCTGCTTGAACATAGAAGTTTAGAGCTGGTGTCATATCGGCTGTGAGTTGCATACTGTTGCGCAGTGCACAAGCACAGCATACACGCCCACACGTTTTTATATCTGAACATCAGTGCTGCCAAATAATTTTCGCCCAAAATCTGACACCTTTTACTGCAATGTAACTGCATGCTCGGTCACATGGTGCGAATTTTTCCTGTTAGCATTTTTTTCAGAGAATTCAAAATATCGCCCCATATAAGAAGAAAATTCGCTTTGTTGCCATGGTAACCAACACGGCGCCCAGCAGTTCTCATGAATTTTGTAATGCATGAGTGCTTTTAGAAGCACATGCACAGTGCTTTGTGCATTGAGTTGCAATCAAAAGTGAAAATACAGGGCTTCTGTATGGGAAAGTACTGACCACTGACAATTTTGGCTGCTTTTCGGACATAACCTTTTTCGGACTGGTTTTCGGAAGAGCCTTAAAAAATCGGACACTGTCCGAAAAATCGGACGGTTTGGCAGCACTGGAATATACCTGGTTCGCTATTGACGCTTCGACAAAGGGAATTTTCAGTACATCTGTGTGTGCGTGCGTGCGTGCGTGTGTGTGTGCATATGTTTGTGTGGTTGTTTAGGATACTTTGTCTGGGCGTGTTCTGTTCGATGAGCTCTTTCTCAGTGTGGCGCAATGTCTACGGAAGTTGTCACAACCTGTGAGTATTGGTGTGATGCCACGATGTACATGACTTTACATAATACTGAATAGGAAATCAATGCAAAGCTCACTTTCTAAGTGACACATTTACTGATTGCTTACTGAAACTTAGAGATAGATGCATCATTCTGATCTTCACTGGACCCTTGTATGTACCCAATCGTGACGTCTTGACGATGTGACCGACACACGCTCAGGCACTATACCTTGACAAGGGCTGCTCTTTTGGATTTGTTGAGTGTATGGTCGATCCTTTGTCATTCGGCTCACTGCCACTTGATTATGTATTCACCAAGTTTTATGTCCTGCACATTTGCCTTACTCATCTCTCTGCTTGAATGCAGTTCAAGGCGCCAGGTAGCAAGCGCAGTCTTGAGCCGGATCTCTACATCTCGGTGCTGGCGGCTCAAACCGTGGCCAAACACCAGCCTGTTCAGGTGAGGTGACGCCGTGCATGGAATCGCTCGCCGGTGCATGCCTGATGTATTCTGCTGCTGCTGCTGCGGCTGCTGTTGCTGGTACTGCTTTTGTTACTCGGAGTGCAGTAATTTGATGTGGCGACGCCAGCTTCTAGTCTAGCTGTGCATATGTTTGGGAACCATAAATTTGGGATAGTACGAATTTAATAGTTGTTAGAAAGGAAAAGGACATATGGAAACGAGTTAAGAGTAACTCTCCACCACTGTAACTAGATACTATATACAGTCAGAAAGTGCAACAACTAGGCACAAAACAGACAGAGTACTGTAGGTGTCAGGACGTCGAATGTCTCAGTACTCTGTCAGTTTTGTGCCTAGTTGTTGCACTTTCTGACTGTATATAGTATCTAGTTACAGTGGTGGAGAGTTACTCTTAACTCGTTTCCATATGTCCTTTTCCTTTCTACTTTTATTATTGGCTTAATAGTTGTGCGTGAAGTGTGTGGGTACAGTGAGGGCTGCGTCCCACCCGCCTGTGTGGATTCACAGGAAGTGTGAGTTACGAAGTCTGAAGAAAACGTTGAACGGTCTCTGCTTGGATGACGACTACACCATAGCTCAGTGGTTAGAGCATCGCTGGCTACAAGCGAGGGTCCCTGGTTCGAGTCCTGGTGGTGACAGTCAATTTTTTCTTCAGACTTTTCCCGTTTGTCTCTTTCCCTCAAAACCAGTTAATATTTTATGACTTGGGGCTCCCCGCGTGCTAGTTTGTACGTGAAGTGTGTGGGTACAGTGAGGGCTGCGTCCCACCCGCCTGTGTGGATTCACAGGAAGTGTGAGTTACGAAGTCTGAAAAAAACGTTGAACGGTCTCTGCTTGGATGACGACTACACCATAGCTCAGTGGTTAGAGCATCGCTGGCTACAAGCGAGGGTCCCTGGTTCGAGTCCTGGTGGTGACAGTCAATTTTTTCTTCAGACTTTTCCCGTTTGTCTCTTTCCCTCAAAACCAGTTAATATTTTAATAGTTGTTAACTGGATTTTATATGATTTTGTCAATTTTTACCTTCTCTGGATCGTCTTGCAGTCAATATTACTCCAAGGTACAAGGCTGACACGGTGGAACGTAGAAACAGTCATTGATCGCCTTGAGGAGAAGCTGCTGGACCTTGAGAATTTATTGGCAGAGCATGCAGCCCAGTAAGTGTACACGGCCCACAACAAGTCTGTTCTTGCCTACGGACCGCTGATTTCTTTGAGACATGTCTGGTCTGCTGCGTACGTATGTGCATGCGTGCGTGTGGTGGTGGTGGGGGGGGGGGAGAGAGAGTTTGGTGGTGGGTTTGTGTGGATGAGCGGAACGATGCTGCAGTTTTATACAGTGAAGAGGGACGCTTTTATAGTTTAGAACCGGTTTCCAGGTGTCGGTATAAGCCCTATCAGATGCCGTACAAGCACGCGCTGACTGTATTAGTAGGAGCAGTCTAGAAGCTCGATTCCTGGAGTCTTCATCACTTTTTCCATCCGTTCTTGCAGGGCCAGCAGTACAGCACACGGAGAAGATCCCTGTGATTCGGAGTATGGCCTGGTGGCTATGCTGAGGAGTGGACATGTGGGATTGCAGCTCTTACCTGACGGTGCTGCAGACAGTAAGTGCATGATTGTAGTATCTTACAGTATGTACATGTACATGGACCTGTGTGCGAAGATTACTGTGACGAGAGACCACCTGTCGTTAGAGACCGGGCATCTCATCTTACTAGACCATGTTCTAACATGCATTGCACCATGTCTGTATAGACCAAGCTTCTATGTACAGTGGCACAGGTGGTGCTGGTGCTGGTGCTGGTGCTGATGTAGTGATACTGATGCCGGTGCTAGTGATACTCATGGTGGTGCTAGTGGTTCTGGTTCTGGTGCTTACGTCGGTGACCGGGTGGTGCTGGTGCTGGTGGCGACGGCGGATTCAGGGTGGGGGTAGGGTTCCTCAACAATCCCTATAGCTAGCTTAGGTCATTACATTTAGACCTTTCATTCTCCACAACTAACTGTAGCATTCCTTGCCCCCCTTGAGCTATTCTGAAGCTTGTGGACTTGAGTATCACACCAATCACATTGCTTCACGCTGGCAATTCCGATGCCTTTGGGCTTGGGTACGTATCACACTCAACACAATTGCACTATTGAGCGCTAGTTAGTCCATCCTGGCTTTCCAAAGCCCACCCGTACAGACGTTTACTCGTGCATGCGTGTTGGTGTTTTGTAACGTTATGGCACAGGTCTTATCCTGGTGACGGATACAGTGTGTGGCATGTCGGATGGTGCAGCCACTGAAGTTCTGATGACACAGCTTCGCAATTTTGACATCACGTTCTCTTGCTTTCAACTGGGAAGCAAATTTCATGCCGGATGCAGGTGAGCTGTTGGAGACACTCATGTCCTAAGATAACTTTGACAAGTGCAGCTGCTTTTTCCGTCTATCGAGTCATTGTTGCCACTCCTCTGCTCTGCTCTGTCTGTCTGTCTGTCCGTCTGTCCATCTGTCCGTCTGTCTGCCTGTCTGTCTGTCTGTCTGTATGGATGGATGGTAGTGTGCATATGGATGGATGGCAGTGTGCATTCTGTTGCTCTTTTCGAGAGGAACGTATTTGGTTTCTTCTTTTGGTTTCTCATAGATCTGAAGACCCATCTCATTACTGTTGTACACATAGAGGAGCATGTCGCTAGTTGTGTGTATGTGTGTGTGTGTGTGCGTGTGTTTGCGAGCGTGTGCACGTGTGTGTGTGTGTGTGTGTGTGTGTGCGTGTGCGCGTGTGCGTGCGTTAGCGCATGCGTACATACGTGTGTACATGTGCGTGCGTGCGTGCATATGTACATGTGTGTGTATGCATGCGATTCTGCATTGTTGTTGGCTGCGTCTCAGTTTTGGGTTTGTTCCGAACAAGCCTCTTCTGCAGTTCATTCCCCTTGCTACATCTGGAGCCTACCTGGCCAATGTGGAGCAGGTATGTTGGTTCAACGCCTCGCGTATGATGGATGATGATACACTAGGAATCGTTGATGGGTGCTGTCGTTGTACATTTGTATCTAGTGCTGGATTACTGCTAACAAGATGCTGCCTTCATTGCTGCTGACAGTTGTATCATCCCTTGTGTCTTCCCTGATGGCAATGAGACATTAACACCCTGGTTAGGAAGCAGAGTTTTGCCAGGAATGTGTGTGGGTTTCTAGCCTTTCCCCCCCCCCCCCCCCCCCCTGTTATCCAGGACGAAAACCGGTTTGCCTGCCGAACAGTTGCCAGATATGCTTAACCCTTTGCCGGTCTAACTCAATGTATGTGAGGGGTGGTCACGCAAATACATGTACACACAACCAGCAATAACTCAAGAACCATGTGATGTAGATATGGGTAAACCATATATTTTCAAAATCTGTATGCCTGAACGCTTCCAGAAAATTCAAATATGACTAGGTCCAGGCAAGGATAGGGCCCATGGTAGCCCTTCAAGTTGAGAGAAAATACAATTGCGAATGAAATACACGAATATCACAGCACGAAGGGCATACCAAGTTCGTGATGGAGCTGAAATCGTACGATAAACAATCAGGTAAGGGCTACGTCTTTACAAGAAATGTAGGCTCTCTACAATACCGCCATTGAACACCAACACCTCGCCATCGGCGATACGCCAGCAGCAGCAATTCCCATTCCACGATATCGCAGCTTCGGTTTGTTCATCTCAGCGCTGCTCGCGTCAGATTCACTCTCGCTCAGATGAGCACCCAGGCGCGAGCTTACGCATGCCGTGATTCTCACGGCCAGGCGACTCATCTGATCACACCTGACGAGTCCTTGTGACAGTGACTGTGGCCGTGTCGGCAGCAAGAAGGCTTCCTCTCTTTTTGGAGAATTTTGTTTCTTCATTCGTGGACGATATATTTTTGAACTAGCAGTACTCAACGTAGCTTTTTTTCTCAACACACTACACTGCAAAACCTCCCGGGAGATCCAGGCTGGACTGGTGGTGTTACTGCTCTCAGAACGCTTGTCAAACACGGCCCCTAGAGATGCACTTGCATTCTCGAAATGCACGCATGGCGGATGGTCGTCTTTTCCAATTTCAACAAACTTCAGTCGATCGATACGCCAAAATTTGTATGGTAAGCATGGTTGTTTTGTACATCGTCAGATAGCCTTGGACCTCAGCTACGCGTAGAGTGCCATTTTAGCTGTCTCCTAGTAACAAGACCCCAAAAAATGAGGGCCAAACGTACCGATACTATAGTATCGGTTCGCTTATGGTAGACCGATAAAGGGTTAACCTGAGGAATCGAATTGGAGATAATTATGTTCTTTGACAACTTGAAATTTGTATGTGCAGATCCTTGTTTGTATCACATGTGCCCAATCTAAGACATGTCAATGGAGGTTATTTATATCCTTGTGGCTGGTGTGAATTATGTTTTGCTCCTGTATATACAGAAGCAGCAGTTTGAGTGGAACGAGAAAAACGGTCAGTGTGTGTGTGTGTGTGTGTGTGTGTGTGTGTGTGTGTGCGTGTGCGTGTGCGGGTGCGGGTGCGTGTGTGTGTGTGTGTGTACGATGTGTGCTTGCACATGTATGTGTATGTGCAGTTGTGTATGTGTGCATATGTGTATGCATTCTGTTAGCGTATGGTGAATGAATAGCCAGATACATGTAGGTGAAGGATTGTGTCAGCCCACTCCTGTAATGCCTTAACAGTTACCGGTATACACCAGCATTTTAGCCGTATGTTTTTTGTTTTGTTTTGTTTGTCGCTTATTCAGGCTCACATGCCAATACAGGCTTTGCAGACCTTGTACTGGTAGTCGCTGTGTTGAACTTTGCTAGCTTGCTCTCCTTTTGCGTACCACTTGCAAGCCGCCTCTAGGATTAGCATGATGTTACTCCAGTGTCCTCGTTTCCCCTTTCACCCATCCACCGATGCTTGACGAACCATGTTTCCTGTTCCTCTCTGTGCACAGGCGAGCTCAACTTCTACCAGCGCTGCTTGCTAGGTTGGCGTTGCCAGTACAACTCTGAAGACTGGCAACACCATTATTCAGGTTGGTGCACTGTTAGACTGCTGAACCTTGTCAGCGTTTACTTTTTTTGAATGCTCCTTCAGATAACTGCTAGTTACTGGCATATTCTGGATCTGGATACACACTGTAGTGCGAAGAGCCGCAATAAACAAGCAAGGAAATTCCGGACATGCTAGAACATTTCCATCAGACTTGTTAAGTCGGGAAAGGAAGCCCAACAGCGATACTATGCATTGGCCATTGCCATGAACGAAGTGTCGGCATGTGCTGCTGGATCGTAGGATACGTCGTGCTGCGTGCGTTGCATCACTAGTTGGTGCACTTACAGATGCGCATGTGTGTGTCTGCGTGTGTCTGTGTGTGTCTGCGTGTGTGCATGTATGCGTGCGCATGTGTTGTGTCTTTTTTTTGTGCAAATACTGTAGCTGTCAATGTTCCCCAAAGTAACCGGTGAGTTCCAGAGCACGGTGGTCTGTGTTGCTGTCTTCCAGTAACTAGTGCAGGCCGGTGTCTTTGGGGGGGGGGGTCATATGATCTCTGGGATAATGTACTTGTTCCCCTTGAATAAAGTAAGAGTTTGGATGATGTCAAGGTCCTCTGAAAACCCATCAATTCGGCAACATTGTGTGCTGCTTCTGATATGGAAAACAGGGGCAGCGGCAGCACACAGACCGTGCAGACCTGAATTAAAATACACTCGAATGTCTGTTATCCAGGCACCGTGGGACCGGGCACTGCCCGTATCTCAGGACAGCTCATCTACCATGTATCATAATCAGTTTTTTGAAGAAATTTGTTTGGCACTTATTGCATATGTTCAGGATAAAAAAAGAATCTATTGATGAAAATGTGTGGCTTACACGGGTTGGCAGTGACATCATATAACTTGGACATTCGAAAAACCCCAGAATATGCGGCCTGTGGCTGAGGTAGGGAAAATTCGAACAGCTTGACCAGCTGGTCGAATCAGGAACGGACGGCTTGCTCAATGTATGCTGGGACATACTCCGTGGAGCCGGTGGCTGACGCCAGGTAGCGGACACCATCCGATCAAATCTAGATGTCAGTGCCTTGAAACATACGGTTAGCCTCGTCCATGTACTCAGGTTTGACACAGGAAGGATGGATTTGGCTGCGTTGGGTAAATAGCCGAATGAAGACCCTTTCTCAACCAGACTTTCCCACCATTGGCGGACTCCTGTTGTCTTGCCACTAGCCGCAGAGTCACCAGCATACCACGCTTGTGTTGCATCGTCACAAGAACCTGCTTGCATTAGAGGAAGCGTGGTAATCGCATACATTAGCATTGCTACTGGGTCGCCCTAAGTGGTGCCTTTGCTGGAAAGGATGGATTCGCCGCCGGCAAACAGACTGGCCGGATGACGGTAGCGATTTATTGCCATCGGGGCAGGCACTGGGCATAGATGCTGCACATTGCGGAGACACACTTTCCCGCTGATGCTGTTGAAGGCGTTTGCTGCATCGGCGAGAAGAACACACTTGCACTCACTGCTGTTGAAAACCTGTTGCATAGCATGGGTCGCAGCTTCAATTCTGCTCTCCCGTCCAGAACACAGCTGGAGACAGCCCGCCGCCTTGTGGTGATCATTACCGATGACAGATAGAATTACCTTTCCAATGATGCGGCGTAGGACTTCTCCAATGCCGATGGGTCGCACACCAGGCTCTTTATCTAGTGGAATAAGGTGACAAGCGACATATGCATCCAGAGCTGCCGGATCAACATATGTGGTAGCAAGTCGTTGGACACAAGAAGCAAGAGCATCACATAATGTGTCAGATGCATGCCCAGTATACGAACACCGTAACCAGCCTTTTCACAAACATCCTTTTCAAACAACTGAAGTACACAAAGTGAATATAAATATCGCGAAGGACTAAAGGAACACGGCCCAACAGTGTTGAGTGGCGCTAGTGCCCTCATGTACATCTCCAGTGTTGAATGGAATCAGTACACCCATGTACAGTGCACAGATCGCGTGTGCAGCGTGCCAGCCACTAGCTAACTAAAAAAACAAGCAATCAAAATCAGCAAGACTGCATGGTTGCATGGTGGCGGGCTATGCGACGTGCAGTACTTCAGTACAAATACAATTTACGTGGCGTTTGGATACACTAAGTACTGCCATCGGGATAACTGGGGCAGGGTGGTAGTGTTGTGTGAGTTTGCAGCAGGTGTTTTCCTATCATTCCTGTCTGGAATAAGATTTCTGAATGGATTTTTATTGATATGGCCTTGACTATGTTGCTCATTTCCATCTTGCAGGTTTTGGTCCGATCTGCCGCTTGTTCCGACCAGTCGGCGGCGCTATGGTGAATGTGATGTCAGAGCATCTTTGATCAAGTGAGCTGGACGGCACTTACTACTGTGTGTGTGTGTGTGTGTGTGTGTGTGTGTGTGTGAGCGCGAAGGATTTGTCGCATGTGGGGAGTCGACAGGAGATCATAGTACCCAACACAATAAGCATTTCGACTCCGGATTTGAACGTTCAACGCGCTCAGTGGTCTGTGCAATTCAGGATAGCGACCGCGGCCTTGACCTGCTGATCCCAAGCATGGGCTAGACCAGCAATGTCGCATACGAGCACGCGGCAATCCCCCTGCGCCAAGCCAAGGGTGACGGGGACGAGCAGCTCGGGAGCGGCGCGACCATCACATCACGTTCCAGTTGCCCATGTCATGTCCCCAGACGCTATGACTCCCTGGTAGCTGGTGTGCATGTACAGTTCCACTTGGTTTGATCCGACTAAAAGCGCCAAACTGGCACCCTGGACCTGTTCCGATTGCACTCGCTGTATTTGCGAATGTGTACGTCTAGCCGCATCCATACCGCATCTAGGGTGCCAACGGCCGTGCAAATTGAGGGCATCAACTATTCACTTTAGGTCGGATTTCACTGAGCGCAACTATCCTGTATTATTGTATGTGCATGTACACTTTTGTACATGAGATTGAATGAAATTACCGGTCTGCGCATTTACCACATGTACTGTGCTACGGGTATAACTTTTAGTTTTTGCTGGACTTTCTCTCAGTGGTTTGTGCTATGTTTCTGACCCTGTCTCTCTCTCTCACACAGTGTTGTTGGCACCAGAATCCGCCAAGGCTATCAGTTGGCGAACATTGTCATTCGAAAACGCAACGGTAAGATATTGGCTCCCGCCTACTACGTAGTATGTGTCTCCAGCACATGTACTTGAGAAGTATATCATCCATGCCGAAGTAGTATTGTCGTTGGCCAGCTCTAAAGGCTGGACTATGCATGTGATTGTGTACTGTACATGTACATGGGTATGTGTTGAGACTTGAGAGCATAACAGCTGCATGAGCTTGTATACTATAAGAGCAGACTAGTGATGGTATTGTGTTGATTCGCTTGCAGAGGGAAGTAGTCGTTTGGAGGTGCGTCTTTTGTTACCGTGGAAGGACCGCGCTAGCATATCATATGAAGCCAGCGCTGACTATCCCTTGATCACCGCCAACACGCACGTGGATATCTACATCGAGGGCATCTACGACATTGTGCGTGATGTCTGCAATGCCGGTAACATCCGCGCGTCCACCGTCAACCCTCACAGGTATCTAGTCGTGCTAAGTGTGTGTGCTAAGTGTGTATGTGCTAAGTGTGTATGTGCTAAGTGTGTGTGTGTGTGTGCGCGCGCGCATGCGTGTGTGCGTGCGTGTGTGTGTGTGTGTGTGTGTGTGTGTGTGTGTGTGTGTGTGGTGTGTGTGTGTGGGTGCACGTGTGGTGTGTGTGTGTGTGTGTGTGTGTGTGTGTGCACGTGTGTGCACGCATGTGTGTGTGTGTGTGTGTGTGTGTGTGTGTGTGTGTGTGTGTGTGTGTGTGTGTGTGTGTGTGTGTGTGTGTGTGTGTGTGTGTGTGTGTGTGTGTGTGTGTGTGTGTGTGTGTGTGTGTGCATGGGTGCATTTGTGTGTGTGTGTGTGTGTGTGTGTGTGTGTGTGTGTTTACATAAGCAGGGCAACCACAAACTTTCAACTACTATCCATCACTACTTTCATGTTCTGCTGTTGACACTGTACTCACACTGCACTCTTTAGTAGTTACGCTGTGACAATGACACCAGTCGAGTTTCAATCTGCCATGCAATATTGTGTGGATTTGTTTGCGTACTGTCAATAGGATGGTGGTGGTGCGTCGCTTTTTACAGCACATCAAGAGGTATGTTTGCATCTTCCATGCATTGCATGTATGTCGTTGTATGTACTATTTGTACGACGTACATGCTGTAGAAAATAGAAATGCAACCCTGTGTTTCCTCTGTCAGCAACTTTATGTGCCTTATGGGGCCGGTTTTCACGAGTTTTGACTGTAGTTTGGTTCAAGTTTGTTGCTGAGTTTCACCCCCCCCCCCCTCCCCCCCCCCATCCTCCCACTCTCCTGCTGCTATTTTGTTTCATTGTAGATAGTGAGAAGTAGTATTGTTACTACATGTACTGGCATTGGTGTTCGTACCGTTTTCTAGATACGTATGCTGTTTGCCTCTGTGCCGTGTTCCGCATTTTTACCCGCAGTCTGCAGAAAGCTGACCAGCTCCTCGTCCACCTGCTCTCCTTCAACAACTCTCCCAGTACGTATGCACTGACAGCGCGCATCAAGAGCGGCTCGTCTGTCTTCTACCTCCCGCCAAACTCAGAGAAACCCGTAAGTCGCCAATGTACGAAATTCTCAACATACGAATTCCGTGGGAACTGGAGGATTAACTAAATTTATATCCTCATCACTGACATCAGGCTCATGCTCATTATGCCAACAAGAGAATACATCTTGACTCTTCCCTTCAATAATTATTCGCTCCAAAGAAGTTCAAGCAATGGACGACAGATAACTCGAAAACAAGAATGATTTCATTTTACAAGAGCATAGCAAAAAAGGAATAGCATGCGCACACAAAGGGGTGCGCGCGTATGTAAAACAAGTTATACGTGCACACGTTACACGTATCTGTGTCCGCTGAAGAAGTTACCGGTACGTAGAAACAGTTACGTAGTATGAGACGCACACTACAAACGAGCGTCTGCAATAGCCAAGCGGAATGAAAACCGGTAAATAAATATCTGAGAAGACTGTATTTTTAATGTAAGTTTAATAGTTAGTGACTTCAGACAAATAAGAAATAAATGAATAAATAGATTCTTGAACTTTCTAGCGAAATGAGCATTTCCTACACTCCCCCCAATTGGCCAGTTATGGACAATTGTGACTAGACCCAAATTAAATGCAGTTATTAGTGATCAGCGCTTGTCTCATCTCATTTGCGTGAGCAGCTGCGCGTCTCTGCGATCTTGGTCGGCGTGCTGGAGCGTCTTCATGCTGCTCAACGTCAACCTGCTGACTGTTAGACAACTCTACAGGATAGAGGCGCTGGACTGGTCTCTTCAAGTAATGGCGCTTCTGGCCTGAACCCATCTGAAGCGTAACGGCACGAACTTGCCCGTCTCTTCCCGTGTGCAGCTGTGAATAATTTGACGTATCCGTTGATGTCCCTGCACGAGCCAGAAACGTGCGCGAAACTCCGTTAGTGTGGCCTTGACCCCACCATGCATCACTCGGGCATGGCACTCATTAACAATCAGGTCAGTCACGTGGTGATCCTTCGGCAGAAGGTACGGGTGCTTGGTTGTCAGAGGCAAAGCAGAGTTCTGGAGTCGGCCACCGCAGCGGATGAGACCGTGTCCACAAACAGACCGAATTCTGCCTGCCAAGACTTGTAGTGCTGATGAAACGGGAGCGCAAGTTGAAGATGGTTGATCCACAGCTTCTCGGCGAGATCTAAATCTCCAGCCGTGAGTTCGCTCTCACTCTCTTGCCGTTTAGACTTGAAGCGCTGTACGGCCTTCAGCACTGTAGCTGTCACTCTCAGAAGTCGGTTGTAATTGCTGAAGCGGGTACAGTCGATGACCAGTCCGATGTCTGACGATGGATGTGTCGTTGTCAGTAAGGCGGCTGAGTTGTCGACGACTTCCATTTCTCTTCTGCTCATCTCTGCACGGCACTCCTCGGGCATGCTACGCGTTCGACCGACTGTGCTGTCTTCTGTCTCCACGGGTTCAATGATGCCGGTACGCAGCTGCTCTTCGATGGTGTCATTGTAGGACTTGAGCAGCTCAGGATCCTTGCGGAGCCGTTTGTGGAGACCGACGAGTCTGGACTTGCAGAGTTGGAAATTGTCCGGCAACAATGGATGATCGTCCTTCCATGGTAGTCTGACCTCATACCGTCCATTGTTGAAATCGATTGTCTCAACGAGTTCTTCATACTCCGTGTTGTCCTGGTCTGCAAGTGCTTCAATTTCCCAGAACCTTTGCAGGGAGTCAGTGAGCTCTCGATCTGCTGCTGATGCCTCTTCCTCGACTGAGAAGACGTGCGTGGCCAGTGCACTGGTATCTTCTGGCGTGGGAAGTACGGTGGCTGGACCGGATAGGACCCACCCTAGCTTTGTCTCAATGGCCACAGGTCCGTCGGCACCTCGGATGATGTTACCCGTTGCAATAGTCCAGTAGAGGTCCGCGCCGATTAGCAGATCCACTGATCGAGTACCTGTGTCATATCTGGTGTCGGCTAGCGCCAATCCATCGAGGTGACTACAGCACTCCACTGACGTGTGCATGGATTGGCCAGTAATCGGGTCACACAATAGCGGCACAGCATAGGCTTGTACCGTGATGTCCTCGCCGTCGGGGACTCGGATTCCAAGTTGAACTACATCAACTACTTGGGACGTTGTGTTGTCCTGGCCGAACGCCTTGATGATGACCTTACGTTGATCCAGGACCGGCAGTTGCAAAGCGTCACGGAGAGCGCTCGTAACATACGTCCGTTGGCTGCCGCCGTCCATCAACAGTCGGATAGCGGCGCTGCGATCGGACTGTGTGACATTATAAGCCACGGCCTTGGCGGTCTGTAGCAATACCGATTCCTGTCTGCGAGGGTCCACGGAAGCATTCGCAGCAACAGCCTGCGTGTTCATCTCTGCCTTCTGCTGCCTCTCGCCACTACATATGGCTACGTTGGGGCTCCCACCACACTTGACACAAGAGTATGCATTCGGACAGGTCTTTGCCATGTGTTTGCGTTTGAGGCATCGGAAGCACCTGCCTTGCTTCCTCAAGATCTGTCAACGGGTGGCAACATTCGTCACTGTTACGCATCTCCCGGCAGTGTGACTACCATTGCAAAAGAAGCACTTCAGTTGCTCAGGCGCACCAGTGTAGAGTGTTGACGTTGTGGCTGGTGCGGACTTTCTGGGTTGGGCTATCGGGACGGTTGGCTTAGCTGCCGGTGCCGCTCGCTCCCTGGCACACAGCTCCAGATGGACAGCCGATAGCAGCTCACCGATCTCCCAATGCTGCTCAGTCACGACAATCTTGCGGCTGACAATGAGCCGGAACTCTGCGGGTAATCGGGACATCAAAACAGACGTCAACAGGGATCCATAAGACTCGCGACTCATCCCGAGGGACTGTAAACTACGAATGTGTGTCTCAACGGTGGTGTATAGCTTCCTGAGGCCAGTTACATCATCCTCGCTGGTGACAGAAGCAACATTCAAGAGGCCCTCCATGTGGCTGGCGACAATGACCTGGACGTTGCCGAATCGTTGCTTGAGGACGTCAACTGCAGCCCTGTAGTTGGCTCCTGTCAGGGCAAATCCGGCAATTGCCTCTCGTGCCTCTCCCACTACCAAGGACTTTAGGTAGTTGAACTTATCAACGTCATCCAGGGTGTCATTGCCATCAATGGCCGACCCAAACATGTCCCAAAACGAGGACCAAGCTCGGATGTCTCCGCTGAACTTAGGAATCTCGAGCTTGGGCAGCTTCATCCGGTGGTGGAAGCTGCTTCCACTACTGGCACTCGTACTAGATACTACACTGGAACGCGAGACACACGGGGCGACAACTGGCGAGTCCTCACCAGTCTCATCTGGAGCTGGTTCCCGACTGTCCAGATTGCCCTTGGCCTTGCTTGTTGTGCAGCACTCATCCTTTCCGGAAACGGGTGACAGTGACTCTGACTTTGGCTGTGAGGATTGGGAAGCCCGTACACTGGCGATATTCTCCAACAGTTGACTTGCATCTGAAATGGCTCGCGTAGCCCTGCCGATGCGGGACTCGTACTTCATAAGATAATCCGCTGCATCACAAATTTCAGATTCAATGTCGTCGTCCTCGATGGCGTCCAAAATTTGGGAGTCCAAGCGACCCAGCAAATCCACTTTCTCCCGGAGTTTCTTCAGGTCCAAGGCACAATCCTCTCTATCATTTACGCTGAGATCTTCCCCTTGCCACTCGGGTGAGCTCCTCGTAACATAGGAAATCTTCTCCACAAAATCATCGATTCTAGATACCAATTTGGAGGCAGCTGACCGATGTGCTCCACGCAATCGAACTAACCGTTGGACCGACACTGTTGTCGTCTTGGGCTGATCCTCAGTCTCCGTCTCGGCCATAATCGCAAATCAAATTTCCCGGGCTCGTGTTGAAGCTCGAAGGACCATATACGAAATTCTCAACATACGAATTCCGTGGGAACTGGAGGATTAACTAAATTTATATCCTCATCACTGACATCAGGCTCATGCTCATTATGCCAACAAGAGAATACATCTTGACTCTTCCCTTCAATAATTATTCGCTCCAAAGAAGTTCAAGCAATGGACGACAGATAACTCGAAAACAAGAATGATTTCATTTTACAAGAGCATAGCAAAAAAGGAATAGCATGCGCACACAAAGGGGTGCGCGCGTATGTAAAACAAGTTATACGTGCACACGTTACACGTATCTGTGTCCGCTGAAGAAGTTACCGGTACGTAGAAACAGTTACGTAGTATGAGACGCACACTACAAACGAGCGTCTGCAATAGCCAAGCGGAATGAAAACCGGTAAATAAATATCTGAGAAGACTGTATTTTTAAATACAGTAAGAAGGTGGTAAAACAGCGCAAAAAGAAAGAAAGAAAGAAAGAAGCTTAGCTATCTTCTTTCTTTCTTTCTTTCTTTTTGCGCTGTTTTACCACCTTCTTACTGTATTTAATCCACTGTTCCTGTTCCTTTTCCCTTGACTGTATTTTTAATGTAAGTTTAATAGTTAGTGACTTCAGACAAATAAGAAATAAATGAATAAATAGATTCTTGAACTTTCTAGCGAAATGAGCATTTCCTACAGCCAATGCATTTGTACCCGGGCTTGCGTCGCCGCTCTCACTGCTAGAGTACTGCTGCTGCTATATTTTAGAGCACCCGTGTTTAGGAGGTTTTCTAAATGTCATGGAAATACCGTAAAACTCCCCGGATCCGGACAACCCTAATACGGGCACGTCCGTCTACCAGGCACCTTTCTACGCATCTAGTCACGAAAATGGCTTTTCAACGAAAAGCAGCCAAAAACACTATTGATTGGCATATAAACATGTTTACTTGCATGTAGCAAGTATGTATGTTTTGAGTTACGGGCAATTTCTATTTACGGGCAGTGCTCGGTCCCAACGGGCCCGGATTAGGGGAGTTTTTCTGTATATTCTTTCCCAGTCGTAACTTACTGGCAATGGAGTTAGGTTCGTCTTTGGCTTGTTTGGGTTGTTTCTTCAGATCCCATCGTCAAGCACGGGCAGTGCTGGTCGTACGTCTTCTGGTCAGGGTCGTCATGCCAGGGCTGGTCCTATGCAGCCGTTCACATCCTTTTGGCAGCCTGTCCTGTCACTGGACACGGGGGTTTGGTAAGCTATTACATCATGTGTGTGTGTGTGTGTGTGTGTGTGCGTGCGTGCGTGCGTGCGTGCGTGCGTGCGTGCGTGCGTGCGTGCGCGCGTGGGTGGGTGTTTGAAAAACGACATTTGATTCTTATTGCCGATATTTCTTACACACGATAAATCACGTGTGACATATCATATGCACGTGTGACATACAGGTATCATAATTATAATTATGCGCGCACGTTTGGCATGTGGACACGTACAAATACTACAATCATGTAGGTCTACACATCACATGATACACACGGATCAGACTCGGCGGGTCGTGCTAGGCGACTGCGGAGCAGCAGATACGAGAGAAGTCGGAAGAAAGAGTCCGACTGGACAGAAAAAGTGATTCTCCGATGCTCAGTTGGACAAAACTCTCTTTTTGTGTTGAATATTATTGTATTGAGTATGCACAGAACACAGATGTTATTACTACAGGCGATACACTTTGCACTAATCTGGCATATTATGCTACACAAAATCCATTCTTAGGGCCGATATATTCTACTATGCGATAATACTGCTTGTAAGAATAAATATACACATAAAATATGTGTTATGATTATGAAAAAATGAGTGTTCATTCTTGTAGGCAGTATATTCTTGTATACGACCACACTATAACCGATACGCACTCTATGTGTATTTTCAGTATGAGCCTAGGCAGAAAGTAGTTTTTATGTGGCCAGGTAGCTACTCCATTGATCGCATGGACATTTTTGAAATTTGTGCATATTTTGTATCTGTGTGCGTGTACTTGTTCCTGTACTTGTTATCCAGGCATTGCTGGTTCCATGTGCAGCGCATCACGGCACAGCTGCTTCACGACTCGCCGCTCTCACGGTACCTGCACCTTCACAATGCCGTCGGTCGCTACGGTACCGTTCTGTGTCGCCAGGCGGCCGGTCAGGTCATCACCATGCTGCGAGAGTGGAGCTCTTTTGTCCTGCTAGAAATGCACTCCTATGTGCGATTCATGTGAGTTGCGCACTGGCCGTGTGTTGATTAACGCGTGTGTTGATTTACATGTATGTTGATTTACGTGTGTGTTGGTTTACATGTGTGTGTGTGTTCTGCAGAGAATCTGACGGTGAGAACGCCGCTCCCAAGTCGTTCTGTCTGGTCAGGATTGCGCCGAAAAATCCCTTCTTCGTACTGAGGTTGGCCTTCCTGGTGGGAACTCCTCCGAAAACCCAGCACGAGGTACATCATCTACTGCTTTACAAACACAAAGTATTTCCTTCAACACAATAGTCACCTTTGCGTTCATGTATTGTGCTGCCAGAAGGGTTCACTTTAAGTTGGTTTGTCGGTCCCGGTTCCATACCAACAGCGGGACAAAGGTTCTTCCCGCTGGTTAAAGGGGAAGTCCGGTGAAAAATTTAAATTTCCGTAGAGTTCGGGTCGCTGAGTCGAATGGTATTTGTCCGAGGAGGTGGCGGCTTATGGTTCGTCAGATACGCCCAATCGAACATGTGCGAATTTGAGGCCGCGTCACCCAGATCCAGGTGATGACGTCACAGCGTGCAGCCAGGTAGCCACACCGTCTACTTATAGTTGTGTACAAAAATGGCCATATTCGGAGCGCGTTCGATTGGGGAACCGTTTGTCGCAGCTTCTTCGGACCAAGACCATTCGATTCAGTGTTACAAACACTACGTACCCTGTGATTTTCAGCTCGGTAAACCTGGAGGTTATACCGTATTGTAGCCGTTTCCGAGTTGGACTTTTCCGTCAGCCCGTCTACGCGCTCTGCGCTGCGTGCATGCAGTGCGTGCAGTGTGTTATCTAGCTGTAGTGCAGTCAACAAACTCATGTCACAACTGACACAGACTCAGAAAACTAGTCAACACACGGACTTGTCATGTACTGCACTCGTATCAGTCGTATTGTACAGTCATGTAGTCAGAGAACGTGCGTTTCTCCTTGCCGGTGCCGGTGGTTGTGCTTTGAGAAAGAAAATTTTAGTTTTCCGCACCCGCCTCATTATTTTATGCTACAGCGATGAGTGCACAACCGTGACAAGTGACAAAACAGCGAACAGCTCCCGGACCTAGAACTTTCAGATTCCATAGCGTTGCGAGCGAAGATTCGTGCCCGTGGTTCAAAGAGCCTGCACTGTTCTCCAATTGAGTAGTCCGAAATATTCCAAGTTCGCACCAATACATCACCATGTGGCAGGCTACTGGAGTCTAAGCGAATCTAATCGGTATGGAACAACATTTAGAGCACTCGCATCACTCTTCTCCATTTTGGCGACCCTGCTCTCCAGCGATCTGATAATTACATCAGCCTCGTCTGCAATAGTAGCTGCTTTTTCATCAGTAGGAAACTCAGTAGCGCTCACTCTTGACCGGCCCGCGCGGCACTTTCTTCAGCTGAATACCGAGGTTCTCAGCCCCAGACCGAACTCATGAAGGTCAGCCATGGCTGCATCCTCACTCTCACAAGGAGTTACAGGTCTTCGGGGTCGCTTGCACCACCTAATATCAGTCGGTCAATCATTTGAAATAGCACTGACACTATTGCTTTCACGCACTCCTTTTGACCTAGCTGCACGCTATGACGTTGCAGAGGGTGTGGCGCGGCCGCATGACGTCATGGCGCAGCCCCCGAAACTCAGTTTTTCAAACGGAAATATCTCGAGAACGCTTTGTCGGAGACACATGGGACCAACACCATTCGACTCAGCGCCCGAAACTCTACCGACCCTGAAATTTAAATTTTTCACCGGACTTCCCCTTTAAGACCATCATATTGCACTCAGTGGTGTCTGGTGTCCATACTATGTTGAGCCTGTTGTCCGATGACATCATTGAAACAAAACAAAAAAAAACGAAGTAAGAATGACAGTGTGACTCCATTATTCACTTTTTCAAACAAGAAAGAAAAAGAGGGCCAGTTTGGATTCGTCGTCACTCAAAGTTTCATGCTGCTGCAATCATCTTTATCCGTGAATCGTGTAGAGTAGTGTTGTATCTACTCAATTCAGCGCCAAGTATCACGCATGACCACATACATAATGATTAGTCTCGGGTTTCAGTATCAGTCTTCTGATGATTGCAGTAGCATGAAACTTTGAGTTACGAACTTACGACGAATCCAAACTGGGCCCCTTTCTCTTTCTCGTCTGAAACGCCAGGCCCGTCGCACCGACTTTGGAGGTGGGGTGGCCATGGAGGGAGGGGGGGGGGGGGGGGGGGGGGTTGTTCTGGGAGCACTCCCGCGGGAAAACATTCAAAAATTGAAGCCAATTGCAATTTTCCGGGCATTTGGGGCCATTTCAGTGTATTTACAATGAAAGGCTTTTTGATTCTGCAACAAACCAAGAAGACGCTAAGATCGGGGTCAATGATTCTTTATTATTCGCCACGTTTGCGCTGAGCTGCGACCATCGCGCTTTGTTGCAGTGTGCTAAAAAATATAAATAAACGCCGCAAAAGTGTGGCGGCCTCAGCCGCCCCAGCTGCCCCGGCTGTATTTGTATTTGTATTTATGGATTCTCCACAGGCCTTAGGCCCTCTGCAGACTACGTACATAGAACATCCAGTACAAAATCGCATAAAACCTAAAAGGCAACATTTTTCCAAGCCTGCATTCAGACTACACATTTTACATGCAATATACAGGCAACCTTTGACCCTACGCTATTGCGCAATGGACCTGGGATGTGTGAAAGCAGCCGGCAGTCGTACAAAGTTTGTACATTTGTACGATGGTTGGTGAAAGTACGATAAATGCAGGAAAGTTGCCTTGTACAAGGGTTGGCACCCTGCCTGAAAGGATTGCGCAGCTTTTTAGGCTTCCTGCCAGATTCTTGTTGTTGTCTTGGAAACTTCTATGTAAATGTGACTTATAGGCTGTTTTGTACCTAGTCTGAAGAGGGCCTTAGCCTAAATCGAGGGAGTCTCCGTGACGGCATTAAACGCTCTGCACTTTGTGCATCGAGTACTTTGCTGACAATTTGCCAAAATTTACTCCTTTGACTCCGTTATTGTACAGCTATGGTGGCATGGTGTTGCTGTGTGTTGCTGTGCAGATGGTGCGTGACCTGAAGGAACGTATGAGCAAGCTGAGCCTGTCCGTGCGGCAGCCTCGCCCTCGCAGTCCAGTCTTGCGGCGGCAATCTTCCATCACCAACACACCACGGCGCCCATCCAGGAGTGCGCACGTAACCGCGTCCATCCCGTGCGCCAGGCTTCTCAACAAGAACTATGAGAAGATCCTTATGCGGTAGGCGGTGTTTGTGATAAGTAGTGTAGCAAACGTGCTAGCTCAGCTCATGCTGGGTCCTTCTCATGCAGAATCATAACTAACACTATGCTTACCAGCTACTAGTACTACAGTGTGTATCGGTTATAGCGTGGTGGTCGTGTAAAAGAATATACTGCCTACAAGAATGAACTCTCATGTTTTCATAATCATAACATGGATTTCAAGTGCACTTTTATTCTTACAAGCAATTTTATCGTACAGTAGAATATATCGGTCCTAAGAATGGACTTTGTGTAGCAAAACATACCAGATTAGTACAAAGTATATCGCCTGTAGTAATACTATCCGTCCAATGCAATTCCGATTTGACTTGCGTTGGGTCGTAATGCTGCAGGTTCAACTGTTGTGGTCATGTAACTCATGTTGCATAGCCACATGGTAAGCCTATGTGACTATAACCAGCCGCATGCACAGTAACACTACATTGCATGTACGATGATCTTCCTGCCTCTGCGCACATGCACATGATATGTCACACTTGATTTATCGTGTGTAAGAAATATCGGAAATAAGAATAGAAAGTCGTTTTTCAAACACCCACGCTATGACCGATACCTACTGTAGTAGTGGGAGAACATTCTCGTGTGGGGTAGTGTCTCCGTCTGGCACCGATCACTGTAGTGCCTCCGTCATTTGCTCTAGGCATAGAGCACTGGCTTGTCAGTTTGAGCACTCTGGCAAGGTACGTTTGGGCCTGGTTTAAGTTTCTGGCTTTTGAGGGGTTGAATTTTCATTGTTGCCAGGGGTTTGGCCTCATTTCTCTCCACTGTGCTGACAAATGCACACAGAGCGAAACTGTGAATCTGTCAACAGATTGAGTGTGCTCAAGTTAGTTATCTCTTTCTTCTTGCAGTGCAACTCTATCCAGGCTGGTTGAAAGAGATGATTTTTGAACGCCTTGAAACACATCCCCAGTATTCACATCTAACTCTGTATTGTGAGTAGCGCCAATGGTACATAGCCAGGGTATGTACTCTTGGTGTTGTCCATTTTGTGCTGACTCCGCTTTCCTGTGCCATCCCGTGTTATTTTGCTGTTGACATGTGTGACTCGGCGTACCCTGTGTTTCCTGCAGCTATGAGATGATACCATCTAACATTGTGTCCGCGACGAGCAGCGATTGCTTGGTGAGTTTAAGTAGGAAGCCCTGAGTGGAGTAGAAGTGCTGAATAGCTAAGTGATAGAGCTTAGACCCAACATGCAGCACACCACTGGACAAGAACGGTTATTAGTTCAGTCACCTGATGAGTGCTGGGCGCATAGAACTCGTACTTGTGACATACCCGTTCTTGTCTGTTCTTGTCCGCTTTTGTGCTGACTTCTGTAACATGTTTGCATTTGTAACTTTGTATGCTTGCATGTTTACTCTGTATGACCAATGAGTACACACGCACACACACGGTGCACGCACGCATGCACACACACACACACACACTACTACTATGATACAGCTACCCTAAACGGGTCACGCCGCCCTCCACCCAAGCATGAGCACTATGAGGGGCAGTGGCAAATAAAGAGAATCAGCTAGCAGAACTGGCAAAACAGATGAAACAATGGAGCAGAACGGACGACTGCTGTACAATCATGTTCGAGTTCTGTAACAACAACCTGACAGCTACAGTGACAACAACTGAAAATGAACAGGAAAGAAAAAAAATTCAAAATTTCACGCCACGAAAAAACACTGTCCACGAAAGAATCCACCAAGCAAAAGGAGTGTGGGCATCCGAAATCCCACCAGGACTCCACTAGCAGTTCTTCCACGTTGTTGATGTAAGCGGCAGGGCAATGCCTCACAAATCCGACAGACTTCCGCAACGCTTGACCAGTGCACTCATGACGACGAAAGATTGAAGTTTCAATTCCCACCATTCCGCCATTGCGACCTTCCTCTCCGCACTCGCTCGTCCACTCCACTGAAACAACGACTTGTTCCAGCACTCCACCAGCCAATCCGCAATTCCCACCACTGCATTCTTCGAGCTTGGATTCTTCACAGCACTCGAGGGATAGCTACTCCACTGCGAGTGGTGGACCACGGCCGACGCAGCAGTGACAATATCGAAGTAAATTGTCCTGCAAGCTACATCGCGATTCCGCGATCCAAACATGCAGCACTACCTTGGCAGTGTGCGAGGGTGCTCCAGGGTCGACTCTGGCTACGCCAGAGTCGCCCTGGGCAGGCAGAAAAACTTTGGAGAAAGCCAAGAACACGGAGCTCAGAAAGTGTAACCTGCTCCCAAGGAGCACAAAAACACACACACACACACACACACACACACACGTACAGTCGCACACACACACACACACGCACGTACAATCGCACACACGTGCATGTAATTGTGTCTTACAATCCCTAGCCAGTGTACTGTGAGCCAGATCTGTGGATGTACTTGTGCATGGTCAGTCTCTAGACTGGTCCAACAGTTTACCGGCGTATTGGGATTATCTTCATGGTGGTTGTGTGCAGTGTCATTTGTGTGAGTTGGGCTTTTCTTCTGTGCAATCGCTTCTTTAGTTCCTGTTCAGTGCGGCAGGAACATCTGATGCGGCGGCACCAGTGACAGGGGTGAACATCCCGCACGGATTGGGGCCTCACATGAACACGCCGATGGCCAAGACAGCTGCGGTCGCACCCACGACGGTGGCGGCCGTGGGCGGCAGTAGTGGCAGCGGTGGCTTCACGTGGAGTCGCAGTAACCTGGCGTGTCACCTGTTCCAGCAGCGCTGGGTCTGGTGCATGGAACAGCCGTCGAGCAGCAGCGTGTCTGGAATTCTGGCTACTCTTGTCGAGTGAGTCCCACCACTGCTATGCCTCCTCTCCCCTTTGTGATTACTTGCAGAGAGTCCTGGTCTATTTGCAGCATATAGGTGGTTTATGATGAACATGCTTGTCATGTTGTACACTGTACTACAACGTTTATGGCTAGCTCAGCTCATTTCGAATATGCAACACTCCCAACTAGGAATAATCACTTCATAGTTCGATACTTTTTTGAAGTCGCCACCTCTATTTCATACTTTGACATGCAAGTGTTGTAGCATCCTGGAACCTGTGACCTCAGTGGGTGCGTTTTGATTACTGCCACGAATCGATTCATCAATGGAATCTCGTCGTTCGATTTCATGTCATGAGCCCTGGAATCGGTTCGGAATCCATTCACCCTATTCACATTGGGTGATGTGAATAGCCAGGGGTGATTCATGAATGGATTCAACATTGATTTGCGGGCATAATCGAACGCACTCAATTTGAGAGAAAGAAAGCCGTACTAGTATTCTGTACGGTATGGAGCAGGGTTTCCTTTCCCTCACACCCAGGCCGCAGGTTCCACACGTGGGTGGCAGTGCAGGGGATAGACACTGTTTTGTAGCGAAGATCCTGATTGGGATCCTGTCCAGGCAATGAACTGTTTTGTCCTTTGGCGAATATTCGTTTTGAAAGATCCATTTCAATCTGCAGCTACTGTTTGTTGCAAGAATCTCAATAGACCCAGTGATGCTGTAGGTTGTACACCATGAAATTTGAATAAGAGTGCAGTGCCTTAAATGTTCTTTCAGAGGTTTTTGTTGTTGTTTTTCAAACAGTAGATTCTACTCAAGTTAATATACTTCTGCCATTCCCACTGTCACAGTGCCGTCTCTCAGACTATAATGGTGGGTTGTGTTGGGTACTGAGAGCATTCATTCTTTCTGCTTGTGTGTTCGTCCTGTCGTCGTACACGTAGGTTGCGTCTCCAGCAGGGATTCTCGTTTGCCCTGTCTCACTCCATCACTGGCATCATCTCCATGACCTGCCAACTAATGGTTGAGGTAAGCAGTGTGTATGCTATTGTGTGTGTCTCTGTGTGTGTGATATTCGGTGTGATTATTTGTGTGCCAGTGTGCAATGGTCGATACAGTGGAGACTGGGCATGGCAGCCTTGCGAATATTGACCGATTGAGTCAGCGAATAATGTCTGTTGCCCGAATCTTGCAGCACATTCTTTCCGAAGCTCTGGTGTAGTGACAGGTTGAATATAGTGGAGAACGGATATAACGACCCTTCCCCCCCCCCCCCCCCCCCACCACCACCCCCAGACTAATGTACTTCAAAAGTGTTGAAGTACAAGTTACTTCGAAGTAGTATATTCGATCTGTCAATAACTTTATCTTCGTAACGGACCTGCTTTGAAACTTGGGCTGCAGAAACTGGAGGAAAAGTCAATCTGTCGTCATATGCAAGGTCGTTTCGTCCGATTTCCACTGTATGTGGCTTTTGTTCCCCTCTCTTTGTTTGTGTCAGGTTACGGCTTGCCAGGATGAATCTCGTAGAGACCGACAACCCAATGCAACCAATGCGAGCAGTGCTCAAGTAGATGCTAAGAAAGACACCACGAACACCAGGTCTGCTGGCTTTGACAAAGCAGCAGCAGCAGCCCAGTCTGTCAAGCTACCGTGCCTGCTGCAGTATGTTCTCTTTCCACCACTGAACCACCACGGCGTGCCTGCAGCGGCGGTCAATGGAGTTGACATGCTCTCTCCGAGCACTGCCGTCGGTAGCGGACCTCTGTGCCTGACCGATGCTGCCACTGTTGACAATGGCATTACTACTGCGGCGGCTGCTGCCGTTGCAGCCTCGGCAGCTGAACAGCCGAGCACAGCGGGCGATGTGTCTAGTCAGGATGGTGCGTCCACCGCGCAAGGCCTTCGGATTGTCTCCGAGCTGTGGATTGAGCCCCAAGAAGGTCGTCTCTGTGACTTGCCCAGGGGTCTGAGGTCCTTGAAAGGCCTATCGTATGAGAATATCAGTGACCAGGTAGGTCCTGCTGCTGTTGCTGCTGCTGTTGCTGCTGCTGTTGCTGCTGCTGTTGCTGCTGTTGCTTCTGCTGCTGCTGCTGCTGCTGTTGCTGCTTCTGTTGCTGCTGCTGTTGTTGCTGCTGCTGTTGCTGCTGTTGCTGCTGCTGCTGTTGCTGCTGCTGCTGCTGCTGCTGCTGTTGCTGCTGCTGTTGCTGCTGCTGTTGCTGCTGCTGTTGCTGCTGCTGTTGCTGTTGCTGCTGCTGCTTTGGCTGGTGGCACTGCTGGTGTTGCCAGTGGCACTGATGCCTTGCACGGTTACCATGGTTATCTGGTTACAGATGATGTTGATGCAACGATGATTTATTGGCATGAGTGGTTGATAGCTAATGTGCGATCTGTGCTGAACTGTGTACACATGTACAGTGCTGGTCAGAGAAATCCAACCTCATGAATAAAGTAGCCCTGCGTTAGAGTTCACAAACCAGTGTGTTTAGTACAATGGCTGCATATCGCCCTGCGCTATTCTATTCATGAGGTTGGATTTCTTTGGCCGGTACTGTACACACTGTACGCTGCTGTACTACTGATTTCTGCTGTTTATCTCTTGCTAAACTAGTCCTCAGTGAGAAATGAATGTGTTGCAGTATGCTCATGCTGATAGCCACAAACTCATGCGTGTGTGTGTGTGTGTGTGTGTGTGTGTGTGTGTGTGTGTGTGTGTGTGTGTGTGTGTGTGTGTGTGTGTGTGTGTGTGTGTGTGTGTGTGTGTGTGTGTGTGTTGTATGTTTGTGTGTCTGTTGTACTTATACACGTATGGTGTGTGTGTGTGTGTGTGTGTGTATATGTGGGTTCATACTTTGATGCTGGATGGCACACTGTCTGCATTGCCTTTCTCTCGTTGTTAGCTGATCCGCGACGATCTGAACGTAGTGTCGGCATTGTGCTCGTACGAGCAGTTACTTTTGATGTGCGAGTTCCCGGACAAGGTGTCGTGTCCCGAGTCTGCCAGCCCGGCAGAGGTACTGGCCCGCATAGCAGACAGCAAACCCATCGCTCATCTACCCAGCCTGTTTGACTTGCCACTGCTAATTGGCCGTGGTCACATTGTGCAAGTCAATCTCTCTGGCATGGAGCAGTCGACCGTGCACGGTACGTACTACGTAGCCCGTTATCCGCCTGATGTCATCATCATCATCATCCCATCTAGTACATACAATAGCAGCTGCATTAGACGTGTCTTGCACAGCTCTAATCAGCTACATGTGCATGGCATCAGATCAGTACAGTAGAACTGCCCGAATCCGGGTTGCAGGTTGGGACCGAGCACTGACCGTAGCCGGGAATTGCCTGTAACTCAGAACACATACACATACCTATTGCAGCATGCGAATAAACACGTTTACACCAATCAATAGTTTCTGGGGCCAATTTTTGTGACTCAAGAGGGGTCAGAAAGGCGCCCGGTGGACTGGAATGCCCGGACCTGGGGAGTCCGGAGTAGAGGAGTTTTACTGTATTCACTGTATCTTTCGTAGCAGGTGTGTTATACTTGCAGTTGTCTTCTTTTGGGCTCTTGTGCAACTACTGCATGTGAGGTTATTTGGCTGATTCAGTTATAGTAGCCGTCAGCTGTTGACTCATCCTGTGTGTGCGTGCGTATGTGTGGGTGGTGATATGGTACGATTGCATGGGCACGTGTGTGTGCGTGTGTGTGTGTGTGTGCACGTGTGTTTGTGTGTGTGTGTGCGTGCACGTGTTTGTGTGTGTGTGTGTGTGTGTGTGTATGTGTGCACGTGTTTGTGTGTGTGTGTATGTGTGCACGTGTTTGTGCGTGTTTGTTTGTGCTTCTGTATGCCTGTGTTTGTTTGTCTCTGCAGGCCACCTGTCATCGCTTGGAAGTCTACTTTTCTCGCTTTTCTTCAGCAAGCTGGCAGCATTTAACGACCGCCGCATACCTTTGTCAGCCACCACGTCGGCAGAAGTGGTCGCAAAGCTGCTTCGACTTTCTAAGGAGGAGTGTGAAGCTGCAGCGGGAAACCTCGCCTGTAATCTGTGCTGCTTCATCAAGTCGCGCGTCGGCTCCTGTCTTCATTTGACCATTCTACCGGCGTCACTTGCGGATGCACAGCGCCTTCACCAGTTGCAACGGTACCACACCGGAGTGAAGCGTGCAGGTTCTGCCTCCATCAACGTGTCCTGCATACCGGTGTTTGTAGTGGAGTGCTCTCTATCGGTTCTGCAATTGACCAAAACAGACAAGAACTACCAGCCAGTGTGCCTGGACTTCACGTTTCCCAAACTGGACACGCTCTGCAATGATGTGCAGCGAAAGCCAGGCTGGCTGATCAGCGCTGTGGTTCGCGGTTGGCAGGAGAGCAGTGGCGTCCTGCTGACGCTGTACAAGGAGCTCTCCATGGTGTGCATGGCAATGCAGGAGCTGTACATGACCGCTTATCTGCAGACCGTGTTTGCTAGTCTGCAGCGCGGCGCGGCCGTTTCCAGGCGTGACGTGGCCTGGGCGATGGGCCTGTGCGACCAGTCGGTCAACGTTCCCGTCGACGTGTCCACGTTCCTGAGCGCCTGCTGCTCTCACTGCCGAGTGGCCAGCAGCTCCAAGGGCAAGGGCAACCGGGCCGCTGAGTCGCCGTTTGTACACAAGGTGTCGGCGCTGCCACACGTCTCTTCCTTGCCGGGCACGTTCTCTGCCGTCATGCCTGCCGCCAGCAGCCGCCTGGACCGGCTGACGCAGCGCAGCATGGAGCATGCACTGTTGCCATCTACTTCCTCCATGCCCACGACCAGTGACTGGAGTCAGGAGAGCGATACTGGGACATCGGATACGGATCGATCTGCTGCTGCCACTGCTGCCGCTCCCAGTATCTGCCAAGTACATCAGGTCAGTGGACAGCACACTAAAATGAGACTTGATTGTTACACATTTTGACTGCTGTGTGTGTGTCTGGCGCCTTGATTTATAAAAAGATTCCACTATTTATGGACAAAGTCACAGCTGAAAATGACACAGAAAGGCTGTGAAAGGACTATGTCAGCTGCTTTAGCCCCGCTGGTAGTCATGTGCACACACATGTACGCATGCACGTACACACAAACGCGCATGCACGCATGCGCGCGCGCACACACACACACCATACACACACACACACACACACACACACACACACACACTCACACACACACACACTCACACACACCATGCACCATGTGTACGCCCGTCGCAAGAGAAGCACGCAAATCTGCAAATGCACTGGATGTGCACCCACAGATTTTCTCTTATAGCAACGATAGCGAACAAGATCTGAATGAGACAGATCAAGACTTGCGCCAGATAACTGTCTTATCCACACAACTGGCGAAGCCATGTGAATCGACCACCAATGCACACCTGGTCTACACCACACGGAGTACATCGGGATAAAACGGCCAAGACAGTTACCTATGCACACCCTACACTTCAGCGGCTGGGGTAACCAGTATAGACAGCAGGGCATAGCTAAAAGGATTTCATTTAGCTCGGACAAATGTCCTTCCGTTTTGAAATCTCTCCGGACATGCCTGGACATTTTCGTGTTAGTTGTACGATAATGCAAGTCGCATTTGGCACGAAGCTCCGAAGAAAGTCCAACTCTGCATAAAAAGGTCGAAAGGTCGCTGCTCTTTTTTTACTTTTTGACCGGACACTATGTCCGGTGAAATTGAAAACGTACAGTCAGTGGCCGAGAATGGCCGGAAAATGTCCGATGTCCGGCCGTTAATCTATGCCCTGGACAGCACGCTGCTTTGATAGAAGCCGACACTAGATGCACTGGTACCTTGAAGTGAAATTGGAGTTACTTTACCAACCAGCCTCGGCTACTGAGTACTGGGAACCCAGAGCCACCAGACATACCAACAACCTCAGCCATGATAGTTATTATAGTAACGACACACTGGATCGTGGAGCCGAAACTAGTCACACTTCCGAATGCTTTGGCAAGAAGGTAGCCTCTAAACAGGTTGGACACACACACACACACACACACACACACCTACATACACACGCGCGTACACACGCACGCACACATACTGCATTGTACTTTGAGTACTTGGCACCTCGGTGGATAAGTCTGAGAGTGTCAGGTCAGTGGACATGTATGCTCAAAACTGCCTGAACTGTCTTTGTCAAGATGCTCTGTTTTATTCATTCCTTTTCACTTTAGGCGGGGATACAAGAGCAGTTCAAAAGTGACCTTGCTGCCAATTTCACCAGCATCTCTTCAAGTCCCAATTACTTCTTTTTCTCAACATCTGACCGCGCATCAACTTCCTCCAAGTCGAAGGTGAGAGCTGGGTATGGATTGCTGAGGTGCTGTTCCTGTCAAGAGGTTTCCACCGTTGTATCCTTGTCATTTTGCACAATGTGACTTTGGTGACTTTGTGGATTTGGGAAGCCAGCCATGGGTTTTCAATTCTCCGCTTTAGACAGCGTTCCGTAAATGTGCATTTCCTCATCCCAGACTGTCTGAATTTGCTACTAGTGCATCATTTACGTCGCAGTGTCACAGACCTTGTCGGCGGTGGTGGTGGTGGTGGTGGTGTTTGAGGGATGTGCATGTCACTAGTCATGAAGACCTGTTCAGTTGTGAGTCTGTTGCGATCTGTTTTTCCCTTCTTCTTACAGCGTCGGCGCAGTAGCCGGCTGAAGAAAGAATTCCATGTCGACGGCGGCGCTGCTGATGTGGAATCGGCGTCGTCTGGCAATGTGCTTGACGATGACGACGATAATGAAGATGGCGATGGGAGTGTTGTTCGGGATGACAGAGGTGTAAGAGCATCGTCATCTGCTGTGCCCGGTGCCTTGGCCTCTACCAGAGCTGATAGTAAGTTTGATGATCACCGTTCACCAACGGCCGCAAAAAGGCCGACCGACCTGACGGAAGTTAAGTCCACAGACCTGAACACCAGTCAGCAGTTACGCGACATGCGCTGGACAATCGCTGGCTCACCGACGGCTCCCAACTCTGGCAGCAGTCGAAAGCACCGAGCTCGCTACCGTCAAAGCACTATGTGTGCTGATGCTGCAGACGCTTCCTCCTCTGACTCCTCAGACAATGAGGAGAACAAACGTGCGGTTTCAGTTATTGGTAATCGAAGCTCCAGCGTGAATGTGCCCAGCAGTAAAGTTATTTCAAGCTCACCGTTCTTTTCCTCATTTCCATACAGTAGTGTAGGCAGCAGTGGTGTGGAGAAAAGTCTTGCGGATAACGGCGCCAACGAGTGCTCCGGCGATGAACTGAACGACGACAACCTGAGACCTCTGTTCCTGTCTCTCTACTGTTGTGTTAGCACACTGAATCCCAGCAGCAGCAGCAGCATCAATAGCAGTAATACCGGTGCTGGTACTGCTGTTAGCGGGGCTGCCTCTGCATCTGGTGCTGCTGGTGTGGCTGGTGCTGGTGGTACGGGTTCCGTCGCTCCTCCTGGGGGCGCTAATGCCGGCAGCAGTTCACTCTCCGTGCCAAGCGGTGGCAGTGCTGCGGGGGCAGCGACGGGGGACACTGGAACCGAATGCTCGTCTGTATCGTTTCAAGTCAGCAGTCTTCCAACATGCTTTGGTAAGCTGTCTCTGCATTGACATGCTATTGAAATTGCTCAACTGCACGTATTTGAATATAGCAAATGCAAATTAGTAGGGAGGAATGGCGACAGCGAATATTTGCCATGAGAAATGTTCGTTCGAATTCAACGTTCAATATTTGAGGGTAAACTTATGTGTACGTTTGTTGAGGTGCACTGCTCAGCAAAATGGGCACTTTATAAATCAGCACCCTCTATAAACCAGCACAATCTCAGTAGCCAAAATATCCTCTTCATGCACATTGCAGCAGTACATCAGATTTGTTAATCCAGCACCCTCCCTAATCCAGCAGAATTTCCATAGCACGCATGCTGCCGGATTTACCGTAAAGTACCGCCAGAGCGCCCCGTCACGCCAGAGCGCCCCGTCACGCCAGAGCGCCCCACCTTGATTTTGCAGCCAGGGAAAGGAAATCGCATGGCAGAGTTCCACGAAGTTTGTACGGTGTGAGAACCTTAGTGTACTAAGGTCACACTAAGCAGGTGTCTGTATGGAGCGCGTGTCCGCTCGAAGGTACGGATTGTCTGCAGAACGTGCAATATGTGTACAAAGTTCATGTCGTATGACCTACAGACAGGAGACCACCCCCACAATACGACCGCAAAAGGACGAGATGATGGGGCGCTCTGCCGGTACTTACGGTACAAGCTCATGAAGGTGTACTCGTATATGTTTGTAAATGTACTGTCTGCTTTTCTGCACAGAGGATATCATCCGTGACTGGGTAGAGCATCGTGCTAGAGCAGGCGGTCAGGATCACGATGGAGCAACAACAACTACGACATCAACACCTCTGCCGCTACAGCGTAACATGTCGTTTGGCGTCAGCCTGGACCTGTTCTGCCAGTTCAGCTCCCTGTTGGATGACACGGCGTCCGTGGGTTCCGGCGGTCTCCTGAACAGTCTGGTCTGCTCCGCAAGGCAGGAGGATACGAACGCTCTAGACTCGGCTGTGCACCCCGGCGGCCCCACGTCACCCACACCGCCACTGGATGCTGATGATGTGACATCCGCGGAGGCCTTCATCTACTCGCCACGTGTGCCACCACTGCCCAGGTATTGTAGTGTGCCCGTGTCTGTGCCCCTGTACCTGCACGGTACACCTGTAACCTTGCGCCCCTGTGCCTGGGCCTGGCGCTGGGCATTTGGTGTTAATTTGTCTTGACTCTTCGTGCCTCACGGTGCTGTGCTTCTAGTCTGGGATACTGTGTCACGTGCTTTACGATCAGACCATCCACACACGCACGCACGCATGCATGCATGTGCACGCACGCGCGCACACACACACACACACACTCTCGCGCACGTACCACCTTATGTTTTGTGTTGCTATGCTTACAGTTGTCATCATCATTTTCATTTTCATTCTTATCTTCTGATCCTCTCCTGGCCAGTAGTGCTTTTGGTCGCTCTCCATCACACTTGAGATCGTCCAACATCGAGGCATTGCCACCTGAGCAGAGTGCGGCCATTGAGGCAACGAAAGAGAAAGTAAGAGTGCTTTCTTCTTCATGAAGTGCACATCAGTATGTGTGCATGTTTGTGCAAGACCTGGTTTCCAGCCGTATTTTCCGGTTGCTTGTAGGTCTGACTGAGATTGCCCGTCAAGCAAGTGCCTGTATGCCAGTGTGTATGCCTGTATGCCAGTGTGTATGCCAGTGTGTATGCCAGTGTGTATGCCAGTGTGTATGCCAGTGTGTATGCCAGTGTGTATGCCAGTGTGTATGCCAGTGTGTATGCCAGTGTATATGCCGGCTATCATCACAGTTACATGCATGCGTGTGGTTCTTTTCCATTGCAGGCAAACACACGACACTACTACATTTGAACTCGGATACTGAGCCAGTATTAAAATTTAATGTAAAATAGAAGAAGAAAACACATGGATAGTTGCTTCACAACTCGTTTCCATGTGTTTTCTTCTTCTATTCTACTACTACATTTTATTTTATTTGCTCTGTATGTCTACAGTTTTCTTGTATATCCTCCTCACGTGAACCAATTGTTTTGATTAGATCTGCCATGTGCTGTGGCTCCACACTATCTTGCGCAACGAATACTCCATTACCTGGCCTCCATGATTTCTGTTGCCTGTTCTGTCCTGTGTGCATGTTGCTGTGCTTGAAGGTGGAATGGCTGCTACACGATGAGATAGTCTCAGCAGCCCATCGCAGTGAACCACTGCTAGCCGGTACACTGGAGATGGCTGTTCGGCATGTGGTCAACTCACGTGGCAGGCAGGTCAGCACAGGGCTTGTTCCCATCTGTGTGTGTGTGTGGGGGGGGTGCATGCATGTTCATTGGGGGGGGGGGGGGGGGGGCATGCTGGATGCGCCCAGGTGCACACTGGAGTGGTTTTGTGCACGCACACCTGCTTTCATTTCCATGGGCATGCGCGTTCGTATCTTCTTCAGGGTGTGTAGGCTATACTAGGCATGCCAACTATCGCTGTTTATTTTCAGCAAACTGTTACTTTACTGACTGGTTCAAGTGGATCTGTGTGCAGAGAATGACCATGCCAATGGTGCCTGTTACCTGTCCTGACACTGGACACGAATATATGGTTCTTGCTTTTCAAGAGTTATCTCTCTGTCTGTTTGGTAAATTGTTGTTTTACATTTGAAATGTTTGTCTTCTTGTATTACTGCACTGTTGCTAGATATCCAGTTGTCGTGAGTGGAATGTGCCACTGCGTTTTGTTGGCAACACTACTGAGAGCCTATCTCGCTTCATAAAAGTGAGTTGTCCTGGTTTGCACTGCTGCTGCTGCAAAGCACTAATGGTGGTGTTTTCAACGTGGGCGCAGTGTACTGTGCTGCTCTCGTGAGTGCCCGCGTTGCCCTGCAGCCTCTCACCCTTTCCTGTATATTCAGATGCAGATAACATCACCGTGTATGTGTGTACTGAGTGGCAGACCAGTCAGTGCTTGTGATGCCACTCGTATACTGATGTAATCGTATAACCTCTATTGAGCTGGTTAGTGAGTGAGTGAGTGAGTGATACACTACTAGTACCTTGATGTTCGAGAATTGGGATACGGGATCTTCTCTTTCAGCATGGCATGTTCAACACTGCACTGCACTAGTACTTGTCTGTCTGCTTGCCGCCCTCATGGCTTGAATTCTTTCTGTGCCTGACTCGCCCCATCAAGGAGTTTGAGAAGCTGCCGGTGCCGGGCTATGGGCTGCGCAAACTGGACGACTTCTACTATCTGAAGCCGTCCGGCGAAGATGGCGACGGCCTCCGCACTAGAGCCGGCTCTCTCACCAGCAACGACTCCAGACTGGCTAGGCCGGTGCACGCAACGGAAGACAACAGCAGCGGCAGCAGACAGCGGCGCCAGCAGAGCACCAACCGCACGCGCGCCAGCAGTACATCTCCCGTGCGCGAGCTGAGCGAGTCCAGCTCGGCGCTGGCCAACAGTCAGAGCAGCGTGTTCAGTGCTGCTGCAGACGGTATGTACACGTCGTATTTGAATCAGGGAGCCTGTCAGAGGGAACAGATTTCTTTTCCCCTGTGTATGATTTCTAGGATATATCATGTGTTGGTAAATCCCGGGTTGCATACTGAGGAACTCTAAAGTGCGGCTAACACTCCGGACATACGGTATCTGTTGTAGAACTTGTAGACATAAATAACATCATTTGTGACTTTGCCTGTTTCTGCTGCCAGCACAACTGCTGACGATGTTGTCTTATCTTTGTTTTTTTCTCATCAGGTTCCGTTTCCTCTACATCAGCTGCTCTCTCCACGGCTCTTTCGGCTCTGAGTGCTCCCGTTTCTTCCTCAGCATCGCACCCCACGTCTCCGAGCAGACAGATTTCACAGCCTGATTCATCACTGTCACCATCATCTGGTTCAAGGTATCAATCACCTGTGTACACAATGGCGTAACTGCTGTTGCTGTGTCACCATGCTAAGCCCTGTCTAGTTTCTTTGGTGGTACTGTTCACAGCGCTTGTTCACGTACGACCAGAGGGGATCTTGCTTTATGTTGACGCTACACGTGCCCGTGCCTTCGTCAATGCCGTCATCATTGCTTTCATCTCCGTTGATCTGTGTATTTTCTCGTGATTCTTGCTCTGCAGGCAAGCGGGGGACAAACGCTCCAGCTACCAGGCGCAGACCAGTCGAGCATCCGGATCCAGCTCCATGACGGGGTCCCCACGGGGCAGCCCGTCCAAGCACCTGCCGTCACTGGCGCTTCACAAGGGAGCTGCTGTGCCACTCGCTTCGCCATTCTTTCGCCGGGTAAGAGCACTGTCTTGCGCACTGTGTGTTTGATTCTCGCTTCGTATGGGGAAAGAACATGGTACAGCGATGGTAGCAAGTAACTATCCGACCGCTGTTTTCCCGCTCTTGGATTCCGGTAGGTTAACACGTGTACACACGCGCATGGGAATGGCATTAATCTACATGCAGTGTGTATGTGCGTGCATGGATGCGTGTGTGTGTGTGTGTGCATGTGTGTGTGCATACGTGCATGTGTGCGTACGCGTGTGTGCATATAGATGGAGCAACAGGACACGGCGGACAGCATATCTCTAGACAACGTCAGTGTAACAACAGACGGTTATGGCTACCTGCCGGATGACATCACCACTGGCATGTCAGATTCGGATGCCGATGCCGACGCTGAGATTTCCCCGCTGGTCGCACCCCAGCGACAACAGCGACGTGATCCGAAACGACGTGCATCGGTATCGTCCAATCGGCAGAATCGTCTGCTGTCCACGTCGCGACGAGATGAGAGGGACGCCGACTACATTCCCGAGTTCTGGCTCATCCTGCGAGTTTACGAGAACCGTTTGGGATTCTACCATCAGTACAGGTCAGTTAATCATCAGACAACGGTTTTCTGATGATTGGTTGTCAAACTGTAAAGCTCTGAGTTACAACATATAAGCTCCTACTTTACTTTGTGTGCCAGTACTCGTACATGTATATCGTAGTTGTATTATTTTTGTGTTAGTTTGACTAGTGCATGCAGCTGCACATGTGAACGAATGCTGATGTTTCATTCCAAGTCAGGTTCCATGAGACCGATGCCGGTGTTTTAGCTGTGTGGGGTTCGTGCGAGCAGCAATCCAGCTCTGACGCTTTGCACTTGAATGATTTGATGGCATGGTCTGTGTGTGTGTGTGTGCTGTATGTCACGTTGTTTGCTTTCTCTCTGCATTCTGCTGTGCCACTGCTGCTGTATTAGGAACTCTGAGAGCTTGAGTAGTAAGTCCTTTGAGCAACTCCGTCAGATCTGCGATCTTACTTCGGACTTTGTCCGCGAGAGCGAGAAGGTTGTGAACCAGGTGAGGAGAGCTCCTTGGCTTTTGCATAGTGATGGTCAGTGTGTGGCTAGCAGTGTGGGAACTCGAGCAGCATGGCGTATATCCTGGGCCTGACGTTTGGCTACTGTTGTTGGTTAATGCTGGGTAGTTGGCTGGGCGATAGGCAAAGAAAGTAAATGAGATGGGGATGATAGTGTCAATAGTGTGAAACTAAGCGGTAGTATAGAGGTTGTTCTTTGTTGTAATCAGGTCAAGAGCGCTGTCTCTATTTGCTGCTGCTGCTGCTGTGTTTGGTCTCGCAGTGGTTACTTCTCCTGCAGATGTTTGAAACGAAGCAAGCCAATCCTCTTCTCGTGCCGGAAGACTTCATGCCGTCCGTGACAGGCTGGCAGGCCACACAACAGCAGACCAGTGATGATCGTGACTCGGAAGGTTAGTAGTACTTGTACGTGTGTGTGTGTGTATGTGTGTGTGTGTGTGTGTGTGTGTGTGTGTGTGTGTGTGTGTGTGTGTGTGTGTGTGTGTGTGTGTGTGTGTGTGTGTGTGTGTGTGTGCGTGCACGGAATGTTCTCCTCTGAGGGTGGGGTCTTTGTCTGCCGAAACGGGACGATGAGATTGTGGCGAAACAGCTCGTGCGACACATTTTAAATACAGTCAGTGAAACTTGTCTAAGGCGACTGCTCAAGGGGCCTTACAAATGTTGCATCGCAGTTTTGGGCGATAAAAACCAAAAAGCGAATCGCAGCCAGTCATTTTTGATTCGCAAACTGTGATGCGAACCCGGATAAATCGATCCCTGCAGTGAAACCTGTCTAAGGTGATTGCTCAAGGGGCCTTACAAATGTTGTCCCTGTGTGTAGGTGGTCTTCTTATCCATGGTCAGTTGACTGGAGGTAGTATCCAACTTCTAGTTATAGTGGCCCTCTGGGACAGGTGGTTGCCTTGACAGAGTGGCTGCCTTGACACGTTTACTCTACGCTGGGACATCTGATGGTAATGCTTACATGCATGGCCAGCATACACACACACACTCATGTCATACACTTTGCTTTTCTCTCTGCTGTGGTCTTTCAAAGGTGGCAATGGCAGTGATCGCTCGTCTGCCATAAGTCGCACCGGGAGAAACATGCGTCCCGGCCTGTTTGAATGTCCGTTGCAGCACACGCTGCACGTTCCCATTCACCCGCGCCTGTCCTCGTCCCCTGGCCAGTCATCATCTTCATCACCGGGTAAGCTGTGCACCTGTGCGGGCATATGGGTGTGTGTGTGGGTGTGGGGGGGGGGGGGGGGGGCTGTGTGTGTGGAGGGGGGGGGGGGCTGTGTGTGTGGAGGGGGGGGGGGCTGTGTGTGTGGAGGGGGGGGGGGGGCTGTGTGTGTGGAGGGGAGCGGGGGGGGGGGGGGCTGTGTGTGTGTGGAGCGGGGGGGGGGGGCTGTGTGTGGAGGGGAGAGGGGGGGGGGGGGGGGGCTGTGTGTGTGTGGAGGGGAGAGGGGGGCTGTGTGTGTGTGTGGAGGGGGGGGGGGCTGTGTGTGTGGAGGGGAGAGGGGGGGGGGGGGGGACTGTGTGTGTGGAGGGGAGAGGGGCTGTAGTCACTCCGCTCTTATCATGGTTTACCCAGTGGGAGTAACTCAGTTCTACTGTCGTGGACATGGAAATCCGGTCGCGCGTCTAGCGCCCCCAGGGCGCTGGCCATGCAGCCGTGGGCAAGCGGGACACACATGCATTTATGAGCTGCAGCGCGCTGGTCGCACTGGATCAACATGTGCAATGCATGCTACGTTCTGTACACACTGAGGGCGCCGGCCCCGGTCATTCGACTGGATTTCCATGTCCACGACAGTAGTATAATACTGGTGACTGGTAGTGACTAGTAGTGAGCCTCTGTGCCTTTGCTGTAGTGTGAGTGAAGAGCTGGAATGCAAAACCTTCTAAAGCGCCAAATTTGAGAAAATCAGTGTTCCGGCTCAGTGTAATCTAAACGTCTAGGGGCACCAGGCGTTCAGTTTGTGAGAAATTTGATACTGGGCAGGGTGCCCTGGATTTTCTACTAAATCTAGTAACGGCTGGAGAAGAGCTGAGCAATCTGCATATTGCAAAAAAAGGACTTCCACGTTGTGTTCAGTCATGCAGGGCCAGAAGTTGCAGACAGCATTGAGTGGGGGGGGGGGGGGGGGGGGGGGTCACACCTTAACTTTTTTGTTCCTTGAAAATCATCGATAATGCCAGATGGCCCTAACGGAATGTAATAGAAGACTAACGAGTAAGTAATGTTTCGTCCTTTGTGAAAGGCAATGATGTGTTCGATTCCGCAGTCTTAAAGTTGGTCATTACCATGTGGTAAGCACATTGCTAGTGTCGACAGGAAAATACTTTGCATGTAATCCCCTGAGCGAAGTACGTACACGAGTTAACAACTGTGACTTTATCAGACGCGAACTATCCTGACGCGCAACCCTTATCCAACCGTCAAAATGGCCAATTTAAATATTAGTTGTTTTGTGGACTGCAACATCTGTCCATAACTGGGTGAAGGAGAGGTACGGTATTCGTGATTACAAAGTTATGTTATTTCTGAAGATTTTGAGCCAACTAATTCAAAACAGCAGGTCTCAAATGGATTGGAGAAAGATATCTTTACCAAACAGCCGGCTAAAGAAAGGCGAGAGTGAATTTCACGGCAGTGTGCCAACTAAGGACACTGCATGACAAAAAAAAACCTGTCAAAATGTATAGCCAAAATTCGCTGTTTGTGTTCAGTTCTTGCACAGTACTTGCAGGACCTTTCCAGCTCAGTGAATGAAACCACATGCTGGACCTGACCCAATAGAAAACCTGGCCTATTATAATAAACATTCCAGTTGTGAAGGGCTGAAGGAAATGTTGAATGTGTGGAACAGATACCAATATACTTTTGTTTTGAATCACTAGTAAGTCTTAATCTCACCTTACTACAAGTAGCTTCTATCACATGTTCACCTCTGTCTCTGTCTGTGTGCATGTGTGTCTGTGTGTCTGCATATCTGTGTGTATGTGTGTCTGTTCCTGTCTGTCTTGTAACACTCTGCAACCGTCGTCGGCAGCCTTGCAGATTGTGCATGCTGCGCTAGCCTACTTTTCGGTCACCAACCGGGAGAAGCTGTACGTGTACCGAGAGCACACCGAGGGCAGCGACTCCGGCATCTTCTATCTCTGCGTGTTTGAGTCTCTGTGTGGCGTGGAGGGATTAAGTAAAGGTAAGAAACGCCATGCTGAGCTTTCTAGAGATTCGAGACTGTGCAGGTTCAGTGTTGAGAGGTGCACATACCGTATAGTGGTTCAGTGTTGAGAGGTGCACATACCGTATAGTGGTTCAGTGTTGAGAGGAGCACATACCGTATAGTGGTTCAGTGTTGAGAGGTGCACATACCGTATAGTGGTTCAGTGTTGAGAGGAGCACATACCGTATAGTGGTTCAGTGTTGAGAGGAGCACATACCGTATAGTGGTTCAGTGTTGAGAGGAGCACATACCGTATAGTGGTTCAGTGTTGAGAGGTGCACATACCGTATAGTGGTTCAGTGTTGAGAGGAGCACATACCGTATAGTGGTTCAGTGTTGAGAGGAGCACATACCGTATAGTGGTTCAGTGTTGAGAGGTGCACATACCGTATAGTGGTTCAGTGTTGAGAGGTGCACATACCGTATAGTGGTTCAGTGTTGAGAGGTGAACATACCGTATAGTGGCTGTTGTTCTGGTGTCCAATGTGCGTTGTGTCCTGAATCTGTTTTTGAAGGTGAAGTGCCTGGTAGGCTAGTTATGTTAGCAAGCCTTAGTATGAAGTAGCTGTTATGTGTTGACCGTGTGTGTGTGTGTGTGTGTGCGCGTGCGTGTGTGTGTGTGTGTGTACACGCGTGTGTGTGCATGCGCTCGTGCGTCCGTATACGCACGCGTGGACGGATGGGCGGATGTGTGTATGTGTGCGCCTGGATTAATGCTTGTAGCACCCAGCTGGACCAGTCTAAACAGCAGCAATGTCACGTGGCCATCACGCTCCTCAACTTCCACTCCAGCACCTGGCTTTTCATCAGCAGGAATAGTGCAGGATGTGGCTGATGACTATGGCAGTGTAGGCAGAGGTCCATCGCGACTCCACGCCACCTCTATCTCCAATCTACAGCAAATGGAACAGAGGCAGAGTGTGATGGTTCATGTGCACGGTATACAAGAGCCAGGTAGGCCAGACGGTTACTGATCATTTTATTGTGTTGTGTGTAATTCTACAGTAATGTACTGTAGCTGGAGGGTTGCACTGCCTGCCATGGGTATATTGGACATACTCCCGCATCCACTGTGCTGCCATGCATTGCCTAACATGTGAGAAGCTCCTGCATGTACTGTGTTCCTATGCATTGCCTGACATGTAGAAAAGGGTATGTACTGTTTTGCCAGTGAGGTGTGTACAGGATCTAGCTGGCACCTTCCCGTATGTGCTTGTGATGTAGCTTTTGTGTATATCCTAGGACAGTTACACACTATACTGGACTGTGGTCCTGTAGTACAACTGATATGCTATAGACAGCCCCCCCCCCCCCCCCCCCGCATTTTGTACATTCATCTTCTTGGTGGGTGTGCTCGTACTTTGCTCTACCACAACATTGTAGGTCCTGATATCAAGGAGGAGCTCTTGACCATGTTGAAGAAACGGCTAGAAGAAGCAACGCTGAAGGGCATCACGGACATGCTGCATCGCAACATACACAGCACTATCTATCCTCCAGATGTGATGGTAAGCCGGCATTGACAGATTCACTTGTGCATGCCTGTGTGTGTGTGTGCATGTGTGTGATGGGGCCTTGTGGGCATTGATTCGTCTTCTGTTTCGTGTTTGGATACGTAGGGCCGAGGAGAAGGCTGAGGTTCCAAGTTGCAATGTGGGCAACGGGGAATCACCACACATCTCTTCTATGAGCACCATATCAGTCGCTTATGTTTTCTTCTGTTGCCTTACCCCTCTTCGTAAAGCTAACCCAGCATAGTGTTGATACAAGGCCACTCAGTTTCTTGTGCATGAATACAGTCAACTTTGCGTATAACGACACTCGGCCAGGCATCAGAAAAGTGTCCTTATTCGCGAAGTGTCGTTATACCCAAAGTCTCGTTATATGTATACAGGTAGAATGTACTTTGCTCTGGGCATGGAAATTCTGTCGTTATTCGCGAATTGTCGTTATATCCGCAGTCGTTATTAGCAAAGTCGACTGTAGTATACAACTTATACAAGTACTAGTACTCAAGCTCTCAAACTCTCAATCTCAATCTAGTGTCCACGAACAGTGTAGTGCATATCACTTGGCCACCTCGCGTGTATGTGTAACATAGCTAGATGGTACATACTATGGTGTTTGAAGTACATGCACAGGCAAACACCTCTCTACAGTATCCCTGTCTTTCTCTACTGTGGTTTGCCTGTGTGTCCCGCGTGTCCTGTGTGTTGTGTCCCGTGTGGCTTGCCTGTGCACTGTCCAGTTCCTGCAGCCCGTGGGTCAGCCACCGCACAAGTTCTGTCGCTTTGTCCTACCGCCGCTGCCCTGCCAGCACCGGCATTCGTTCATGTACTACTTGAGACAACACCTGCTACAGTTCATGATCATTCCCAAATATGCCGAAAGCGACGCCTCCTGTCATCTTCTTCCGGTGAGTTCTGGACTCTTCAAATTCCAGTCCAAATCTGCACTTGTGTTTGTGCCACTGTTGGACCTTTCAAGTGCTGGCATCTTATTTAAAAAAATACATTGATGACTCGTGCATGCTGCGATATGTTCTACTGTTACTGCGTCGGGTGCTGAGGTAGAGTAGATAGGACTTGAGTGCCAGTACAAATCAATGCACCCCTTGTAGTCATGCATACTTATAAAAGCAGTGTCAATGGCCACACGAGCTGGTGTTTAGTCCATACTTCTATTCAAACCACACTTTTATGCATAACCAGTGCACAGAGGGGTGTATATTTACCACGGCTCGACTCGCTCCTCGAGTGCTCATCATTCTATTGGAATGATGGTCTTGTAAAAGCAAAAAAGCATGACTTTTTACAATTCAAGAATCTGCAGTATGTATGAATAGTATATACCATAATTATAGGAGGTGGTATCCTACCGCACTGCTATTTGCAGCTGGTACATCTCTTTCTAACATTATTGAGTTGCCACTTTTCCATACATGTCCATGTCCAGTTCTGCAGACCCGCTCGCCCCGTGGTGGACCTGTTGAATGCCGGCGAAGACTTTGTGTTGCTGTTCAACTCGCGCTGGGCAGTCGGTAAGGCCCTGCTCCTCTGCTCTTGTTCAGCACTCTTCTGGTGCTACGTGATGTAAAATGAGCATAATTATATGTTAGAGTACTGTCAGACTTGACAGCATGCTGGTACTAGTATATCTGTATGAAGAGGTGGTTGGCTTTAGATGCCCATCTACAACTAATAATGTGTGTTACCAGAGGACATGCCACCAGATGACATGCCGCCAGTACAGTATGAAGTGAAGACATGTTGCTTGTGCTTGTATAAATGACTATAGGTATGCTATGGCTGTGCATGGTGTATAAATGACTATAGGTATGGTATGGCTGTGCATGGTGTATAAATGACTATAGGTATGGTATGGCTGTGCATGGGGTGCACGAGATCATAGTACCCAAAGCAATGCGCGTTTCGATCCCATGTTTGACAGTCCTGCGCACTCCATGGTCTATGCTGTCTTGACCTGCTGACGGCAAACGTGGCCCAGACCAGTCACTGAGTGGTGCCATGTGTGAGCGTGCACAAATCGGCCCCGCGGCAAGGGTGACTGGAACAGACAGCCCGGGAACGAAAACCCACCTTGTTTCAAATTCCAGCCGCCTGTGTTGTCTCACCAGGTGTTAGGAACCCCTGCTATTCACCCGCTGAGTTGTGGCCTCTCCATCACTCCAGCCGCGTTCGCTGCTTCTTTCCAATTCTAATTTCTAATGTCTAGTTTCTTGTAATTCTGTGTTTCCATGTCTGCAGGACTTGGTTGTGTTGCTCTGGTGCTACTGTTGGGTTCGGGTGCAACATTCAACATGGCCGACTCTGAGCCAAAGTGCACTTGTCCACCCGGTTACCAGCTACCTGGTGACCTGACACCTATGCTGGAAGTCACACCAGTCGTGGCCTCCGTACCAGCGAGTAAGTTTAGCCCTGCCGGCAGGAGGAATGGCTAGTCCCTGTTGCTCTGTGACTGCACCGTAGAGCTTTGGTCGTGGGCACACCCGTTCATTTGGTGTGGGCTCGTACCCGCCCGTGTTCCCAGAAGAGGAATAGAAAGAGTATTACTATGCACTCTTCACTTCACTCTCATGATCGAAGACCAAAATAATAAAATGGAGGGTGCTCCCAATTGAGGTGACTGAAACTCCTAATGAAATTCTGCATGCTTGGTTGGAGAAACCTGCCTGGCGTAGCGTGTAGACTCGCACTACAGAAGGAAACGCTAGAAGTCTGTGCAGAAATCTCGTGAAGATTGACATATCCACTATTCCCTTTGAATTACACTACGGACAGTACACGGACAGTATGAATGGTGTCACAGCCTTGTTGTAGTGCCTGCTGCAGATTGACTGTGAATATGTGCATGTGTGTGCGTGTGTGCGCGTGTGCGAGCGTGCGTGTGTGTGCCTGCATGCATTTGGATGTGCTGGTATGTGCGGGTGTGGATATTCCTTGCTCCCTGTGGAATTCCTGTAGATGTAGACTGTATTGACATCAGTATATGGGAGCATGGTACCATTGGCATGGACACACTAGTGGAGCGCGTGCACCAGTCCATCAAGTTTGCTCTGGCTGACTTTGTCATGGAGCACTTCATCATGCCGCACCCGCTGGCCACCCTCCCTGGTCACATACAGCAGCTAGTGGAGAGTTCATTGGCTACTGCAGTCCCTCAGCCACACACACTAAGGCCCGACGCACCTGAGGTGCCTGCAACTGCCTCTTCGTTACGAAGCGAGGACGGGGCCTCTCCCCTCACCTCCTCGGCCAACAGCAGCATGGTAATCATACCAAGCTCAGAGCTATTGGAGATGTCCACTGGCGAGGATCTACCAGAGCCCGCTCCTGGTCCTGACCAAAGCTCGGCAACACACAACCACTCCCTGTCAGACGAGCAGCTGCGTCTGCTGGCCGACAGCCAGCTGGAGCTGAGCAATCCGCGCCTCAGCACCCTTACGCCCGGCAGTGGTACTGATTCGTTCACGCTGGATGACCGAACATCTGGCAGCGTGATGTCTGGTGTTGACCTGCGCAATGTAGCCGAGGCACTGACCAGCCCCGGTGGCAGAGTGCACACGGAAAGGATCAGTTTCTTCTCGGCAGCACAGTGGCATGGCAAGGCGGAGCGCGGCCAGTGCGGTAACCTGCACCCGGCCTACAGCCAGCACTTTTTGAAGCTGGTGCGGCTTGGCCACAACCTCTCGTCCAACTCGTTCTTCAGCACTTCATTTGACCTGCCGGTGCGCAACCTGCCCGCAAGCGCCCTGCAAGATCTAATACGAGTCGTGGACGAGTCCGGAGCAGGCGTGGCCAGTGTCATGTTCCACGAGATCAAGTGAGTCAGGGATGAATGCTAGAATGTCTGTGTAGGGCTGGCTGGCTACCGACTGGTGGAGCTGTGCTGTGTAGGATTGGCTACTGACTGGTGGATGACGTCAGCACCATTCAGACATACTGTTCTCAGTGTCATTCGAATGTGCTCAGCTGTCGTATGTATTCATGCATTTGAGTGGGTCCTTCATATACCGTAAAGTCCGGAGCAAACGCCCACTTCGCAGCAAACGCCCACCCCAGCGGGTCCATACTATTTTCGTCTTTCTCAGGTCAATATAGTTGTAAACAACTGGCATGAAGGTCGAATGCGTACGAGAACGACTGTAATGCCTACAAACTGCCTATGTCCTACCAGGACTCTGTGCAAAAGCGATTGTCATCATCTTCTTGCAAAGAAATAACTTCTGTCGAGATTTCCTTTCATTCGATAAAGGTGGCCTCTTTGTGGTAGTTCGTTCTCCATGTGGTACGAGTAATGCCGTAGAAATGTGTGCAGTGCCACGATGTCGCGCTGTCAGGAACAGTAATTGTTCTGATGAAGCGTCAGTCAACGACTTGACTGGTCCCAATATGGCAGTTGCAAGTCGAACAGGGTATGTCACAGAAGCTACACCTACAAAGTCGCTGCTAACTTGTTGAAAACTCCGAAGTGCCCAAGAAAAACACTTGCCTTTGGGCGTTGTGTGATCTCTAAATGATGGCTTGAAACACCGTCAGAAGTGTATTTGGTTCCTTCAATACTCTGTTCTTCGCTACCTTGTTATTCGGAAGAAAACCCGTTCGGATTTGCGAAATAAAACAACCATCATTATAAAATCACTACGAGCTAGCTCGTGGCTAGTGCCCAAAGAGGTTTTGAAACCAGGAAAGTGGACATAGTTTACCGTAGCAAAGTGCTCTTCTCGCTACGGTGTGAGATGCACTTTCGTACAGTAGGGGTGACAGTGCATGGGGTCAGTGTGTACAGGCCAGCAGATCTTGCAAAAATGGGGTGGGCGTTTGCTCCGGACTTTACGGTACAAGTATAAACTTTTCTTTGAAATTAATTCTCGCTCATGTCGTTAAAATAGAGAAGCAGACGAAAGGTCAAAATCCGATGTCTAACGAAAACACTTACCACTTTTTACAGTATTCTGTTGAGCAATCTTTTGTTCACACTTTGACTGCGTTGTGACATCTTCACATTTGAAAATACGTCCATCAGGCATCGCGTATGCTACAGGATCTCTGCTACACTGTACGCTTACTTATGTCCTGGAAGTGGATTGCCAGTATTTTTTGTCACTGAGCATCTTCAGGGCACCTAAAAGAATCTTCTTTTCCCCGGGTCTTTGCAGACAGTAATCCGTACGCACTTACACACTTACACATGTACCGGTATGTGTATTCGCTACTACTGAAATGTGTTCGCCGATCGTCAGACTCCAACGTTAGGCTGACATGCTGACTGCTCTCGGTCAGAAATGGAGCACGGACGGTTCTCTTACCCTCTATAGGCTTCAAGTACATAACCCAGGTGAATTGGTTCCCCTGTTCACAGAGAGTGCTCAACACCTGGTGTCTTCAACTTCATTCTCCCAACAAAATAATCCTTCATTACAAAGCACGAAGAAGTGTAGAAACAACAGAAAAATGATAAGGCACCCATTTTGATAATCCAGGGGATGGCCCACGCCTGGTACTGCCACTGCATTATAAATCATACGTAATGCTTAACACCTGGTGGCAGCAGCAGGCTGTTGCCATCATGTACCGTTGTGTGAGGATCATGTTTAGCATGAAACTCTGAGTTACAACTCGTGTATCTTGTCCTGCCCTCTGTACGCGGCATTCTATGTCATCTTGTTGCGTGATTTTAGTTCTGTGTTATTGACTTGTGCTGCTTTTCACCCTGCAGCACGGCTTCTGATCAGTCAGACGACGTTTTGTTCGACACTGCACCGCATTCGTACTTTGTCCCGTATAATCCAGCCCGAGTAGCCATGAGGGTCAGTCAGGTTCTTGAATAAGCTGCTGCTGCTGCTGCTGTTGTTGTTGTTGTTGTTGTTGTTGTTGTTGTTGTTGTTGTTGTTGTTGTTGTTGTTGTTGTTGTTGTTGTTGTTGTTGTTGTTGTTGTTGTTGTTGTTGTTGTTGTTGTTGTTGTTGTTGTTGTTGTTGTTGTTGTTAATGTTGTTGTTGTTGTTGTTGTTGTTGTTGTTGTTGTTGTTGTTGTTGTTGTTGTTGTTGTTGTTGTTGTTGTTGTTGTTGTTGTTGTTGTTGTTGTTGTTGTTGTTGTTGTTGTTGTCGTCGTCGTCGTTGTTGGTGCTGCTGCTGCCACCGCTGTTGCTACTGCTGCCGCCGCCGCTGTCGTCGTCCTCGTTGTTGCAAATCGTGAATCGCTATTCTCACGATGACCATGCCAATAAGAGATACTGGTGTTATCGTTGGTGGTGGTGCTATTTTCAGTCAATTTTGCTCAGCCCATCACTACCTGCCTGTTGTTTGCCTGCACAGCAATCAAGCAATGAGCCAGACACCAGCTGTGTGGAGATGAGCAGCGTCACGCGCATGCCACCTCCTCCCTCTTCCTACCTGCTGATCGCGCACAACCATGACCAGTGGCGCTGGTGGAGACTACGCAGCCGCCTGTCGTCGTCACCAGATGCAGCTGCTGCAGTGCCTGACACGGCTGCTGGAATGTCTGACACGGCTGCTGGAGGGAATAAGGAACCCGGTGAGAAAGGTCAGTCTTCCGTCTTCAGTACAGTACATGTATCAGCGTAGTGTTAGCGCTGTGTCAAGACAACAGTTTGATGTGTACACGTAGTCAGGATGAACTACTAGTAGTGCTGTTCTCAGACCTATATGCAGGCTATCAAGTAGGTAGACTTCCTGGCCAGTGAATCTAGGAGGTGCACCCACTTACTTGATGATTTTTTTAATGTTATCGTTCTTCCTGGGGGGGGGGGGGGGGGGGGGAAAGCCCTTCGAATGACCTTGTGGGATTGGCCTGTTTTTACCAGTACTGGTTGTTGTTGGCGTGATATCCTTTTGCATGTACATGTGGTGGTGGTGGTGGTGGTGTCTGCTTGTTATCAGATCCAGCAGGTCAGAACTTCAAGTCATTTAGCAACGAACGGTCATACCAGGCTGCTGACAGTGTGGCCCAGGTCGGTGCTGGCATTGTGTTGCCACGACAACAGCTTATCATGCTTGCCATCTGTGGGAAGAAGGTGAGAAAGAGACGAATGGAAAAAAAGGAAAAGAAAACTGGGAATGCGAAGACCAATTTGTGTCACGTAGATGTCGTTGGTATAACCGTGCTGGAGAGCAAGCCATTTGCCAGCTCTTGAAGTTGCTCACTCCACCCTATCTCTGTTAGATTGTCTAATTACTTGCCTACACTGAGGCCTGATAGGGATGGAAACCATGCAGTGGATTGTGTATCAGTGCAATTGCCAGTATCCATTCCTCGGCTTAGAAACAACAAATCAAGCCCAAAAGAACTACTTCAAAAATAGATTATTAGATGTTTTCATGCTACATGTAGCCGGCCTGGCCTGTATTGGGATTGAGTTTGGAATACTAGTATCCAGTGTTGAGTTGTAGGTTGTCTGCTTCTGTTCAGAAAGCTGCTGATTTGTTGCACCACTGTGTTTTGCCTTAGATGATAGTGTAGTCTATGCTACTCCCACGATCACGATTCTGAAGCATGTACAATAGATGACTTGCACAAAGATTGTCTGGGTTCGAGACGGGGCAAGTGGACCTTCTGACTCTGACTTTCCCACCTTTTGAGTTCGTGACTTTCGAAGTTTCGCTTTTTGCCTGACGAACACTGAGCTAGTTTTTTTGGCTAGAGAGTAGAGTTGTTTTGATTCGGCTTGTATCGTCATGCCGAAGCGCTGCTACGCTCCTGAATGCACTAGCAGACGAGAGATGGAACTGAGGCTCCCATTCCATACGTTCCTTTCCGAGCCGGCCGGCCGGGAGGCAGAAAAAATGAGGGAATATTATTTTAGTATCATTGGTGTAGGCTGCAACAAGCACGTCGTGGTCCTGAAGTGTGACTACTTTCCCGCAGTGGAAGCGAAGTCAAGCACAACGAAAGTTTGTGGACTTCTCAGAAAGAACTCGATTCCCTTTGATTCGGCTGCACTAGCTCCAGAGCGACCCTCTCCTGAGGACAGACTGCGGAGAGGCCAGGAACCTGCCGAGTCACGAGTGGAAGCCCAAACCACGAAAATGAGGGGTGGAAGGACTGAGTGTGAGAGCCAGATGGCCTTTAGTAGTACTTCAAGTAGTATCTGACTGAGAACCGTTGAAGTGTGCTGGAGAAACGCTGCGAAGTCCTCAGGCCTGATGTGTACTAGCTACTGTTGAAGTCTCACTTGTTCCGATATGAACACTTCTTCAGCCCTGACTCTGAGCAGCTGTATCTAGACTTGGACTTAGGCCAGAGACATAGCATTGTAAACCTTACTGAAGCCATATGTATCCAATGCCTGGCTCTAGTGAGAAAGCAGTTTGGCGCAGGCTCGCAAACTATGATTCAATCAGGAAGTGGTGGAAAGTCACATTATACCTCCCCATGATTAGCTGGTAATGACGACGATGCGGCTCCGGCTGGGTTTCATGGGAAAGTAACTTGCATACCTGTTTAGTTGCAACGAGGCAACAGTACGCCATGTACTGAAGACATGATTGAACTACATGTTATCTCCTGGGAGAATGTGGAACAAATAATGCCAGAGTGTGTCTGATACACATCACAGTCTGCTGAGTATGTTCATTATTGTGGACGTAACCGAACTGCGCTGTGAGGTACCTTCTGCGTTGGACCTACAGTTGAGCCACTACTCTTCTTACAAATTCCATACAACGGTGAAAGGATTTGTTGGAGCATCATCAAACAGAGCATTCGCCTTCATCATACACTGGCTCCGTTGCCTACAGTAATTCACATTTTGACGGGGCGCGCTGGGACGATACGGAAGGAGCGGCGGGAACCATTGGAGTGCTCATGATGCTGGTTCAGCGGAGACGGATGTGTCAGGAACGGGAACGCAACCGCACTACTGTACAGATCAAGAAGCGATGGAAGAGTTGAATCTGTTCAGCCTTCTATGCCGTGTACAGGGACACAAGCGTAAAAATGGCTACATTTCGAATGTGAACTGGCGATGGCATTGTGTGGCGACGAACACAACTGCAGCTGCTCAAATTTCAGCATTTCAAACATTATGCTTCCCATGATAACTCACCGAATGGCTCACATGACGGAGTTGGACATTACCAGGCTAGGATTATCATTTGCTGTATTTATGGATAGTCCTTGAGTTTTCAGATGAATTGCTTTATCTTTTACCTGTCGTTCCTTTAGTATGGCACAATGTCCATGGCTGCTTCTTTGTCTTCATAACAGACTGGTATAATCAGCATGATTCTGCTTTATTTGAGAAGAAATAAAACTTTCCTTTCGGAAAGGAAGCCCAGAAACGTCAACCCCTATGGACTGTGCTTCATGACTCTCGTCCATCGACGTTAACCGTCGCAATAACTGCTGCATGTATGTTGTGCTGTGTGAACCGTACAAGATTTTACAGCTCACCCACACCTTCCCAACAGGCTCCTATATCCCGTACCGTTAGCGTTACATTGAATATGAACCAGGCTAGCACAGTTATCCTTTCGTTCTTTTGATGGCGGCGGGTAGCATGGAACTTGACGTGTTCTTGGGATCCTCGTGCAACACTTGCTGTTCCTGGATGCCATATTATTGGGTGCATCGAGGTTGCTTCTATGCTCACTGTTGTTTAGTAAGACAATTTTTTATAACTATTTCACCGAAGAATAAGGCAAGAGTATTTTTGGGTTGGTTTGGACGCCTTGCTTCTCTTCACACAATATACAGTCATGTACTTCCACTAACCCTACAAGTGCACATGCATGACTCATGAGCTGCTGAAGACAGTGACGGTACTGATCATGTACATGTACATGCCGTGCACCGTTCATTCATGCTGACAAAAAAAGTACACTACAGGCGAGTGTAGGGTGCCCTCAGTGTAGCCTGGGTGCACAGGGTGCACTTGCCCCGTCTCACTCGCGGCTCGGATCTTTGTGCAAGTCATCTATTGCGATGACTGCATACAGGCACAAGAGCTTTAGGACCGAAATGTTTAGGACGGGTCATGTAAGCACATGGATGAAAGTGCTCTTTTGTGTGTATTCTGTGGGAATAGCACCTCTGGGGTATGTGCAACACTTTCTTGCCGCGCCTTTCAACTTCCCTGTTGTTTGAATTCTTTCCATTTCACCTACCCTTGCTTGCTGGCTTTTAGATTGAGCTCTACTCGTACAATGCGTCACAAGATGTGATTACTCGTCTCAAGAGAAAACTGGAGCACATTGCCGTGTGGCACGAGCTGCGTACCTCATTCCTCAACTCCTTGCTTACCCAGAAAATGGGCTTGTTCCGGCATGCCACACTGGAAAGCATCACATCGACTGGACGTGAGGTGAGGCAGATTTACTAACAGTCAGGGACATCATTATACGTGCCCCCCACCCCACCCCATCCCCAGTGGTTGCTGCTACTTTCTAGCCCCCCGGTCCCAGCCCCAGTGGTGTACTCATATGCGTGCACAGTAGCTGTTTGCCCGATTAGGTCTCTGCAGCGCAGCTCGACCCCCCCCCCCCCCCTTCCCCCTCCCCAATGGCGCGGCATCTGTATTGGTTACAACACTTGTTCCAAGCAGCTTGTACTTTGTCTTGGTGCCATGGTAAATTCTCCCCCTGAGTTTACTGCCCAAGTTCCTATGTACTGTGTACTGTGTGCGGTGTACTGTGTGCACTATACACTGTACAGGTCATGTGTGGTTTGGCTACAGCTGCTTTCAATTGTCTTGTACTGTGTGTGCATTGTCTGGTACTGTGTGTGCATTGTCTGGTACTGTGTGTGCATTGTCTGGTACTGTGTGTGCATTGTCGTTGCATATCTTAGTCTTTTGGACTGCAAGGTCACTTCATTGACATGGAGCTGGTGGTGAAGGAGACGGCGGCACCGTCACGTGACGTAAGGATCAGTGGTGCATACTTTGCAGTGCATGCATGGTTAATAAGTATCCAGGTGCGGCTGCGTTGGTTCGTGTTGAGACTGCTAATAAGCCCATTGCGCATTGCCAAATATGGAAGGTACGAGTAATGCATGTGAGTACGCTGGGATCAGCAATGCACTGTTCAACACCCCAGACGACCATGCCCAGGTGGCTGTGTGGGGTGTTTATGGTACAAATAATTACGTCATTGCGCAATGGGCTTATTGATAAATTAACTTGGCGCTTGATGTTTTTGTATTGGAGTATAATCACTATAATAATACACCGCAAAGACTTGCTCATCGCCATGAGCCGCGGGTCAAGGCGATGTGCAACAATCAGATGGCGTGCAGTAAGGTCACTGGCAGTTAGGCCTTGGCGGCAATAGTAGCTGATACACATTTAGATCAAATTAGATCTCCAAAGTTTGCCTGACATTGCAGTTTGTCCTTCTCGAAGAATGCGTGACTAAGGCTAAAGCAAATGGCGAGCTGTACATCATTGGTGCAAGGTTTGCTTTGGAGCTCTTCGGGATGCTGCTGACCAGAGCTATGACATCTTCACCAGCATCGTAGGCTTGGAGCTCACCTGGAAAGAAAGCAAACTGTGCCTGGTGTGCTTTCCGTAGTACTGGTAGCTCAGAAGTGAACACTTTGTCCATATTACTGGTACCCCCCCGTATCAGGCCGGGATGAATCCACAACGGCTAGGGCACGAATCTTGCACACAATGTCCGGTACCGAGAACTTGACGCCAGCGCACGAGAGGCGAATCTGCCACTCCAAGTGGACCGGTAGCCCGCCAGCAGCTGTTCAATAATGACGGCGTTGTCATCACCATCGCCGGAGTGGCCGGCCGCAGACAGCAGGCGGCGCAAGTCTGCAACATACGCCTCAGGCGTCTCATCCAGCCGGTACCACCGGTTGCTGAATTGTCGACACGCATCTCCTCGTGACACCCCAAGTGTCTTTTTCATTACGTTCACCACCTTGGCTTTGTCCTTCTGGTCAGCTGACAGCATCTTAGAGTAGACTAACAGAGCATCTGACTCTAAGAACAGGGACAGCCTGGTCATCAGCTTTGCTTCGGTGTCCCAACCGGAGCATTCGCCAATCACTTGAAACTTGACCCAGAACATGTCCCAGCCGTCGTGTTTACCCTTGAAGGGCTTAACAAATCCGTCAACCTTCCACGTCGACATTACTACACACTAAGCTAACACAGCCCTACAGGCTACAAACACTTACAGAATGAAAAAAATGAAAAACGAAGAATCAGCCCTGAGCGGCTCAACCTCAAGCTAGGGTTTCGGGACCAAAAGATGTTGTCTAATCCTCTTCACTACTCCACAAACCACCATTACCGTCGCTCACACAGACCAGTGCACCAAGCGACCAGGTAGGAGAAACAAAGTTGGTATATTTACAAGAAGATTACAACAAGAAAAGATTCAAGATCAACGATCGCTAAATCGCTGTCATCAGCAAAACGTGCACGCATGCGTGCATTGGCTTTCGTGTACATCAGTGCGTGCATGCATGAAGATCGAAGAGTAGAAAAGCAGATGATCACAATCAGGGAGTGTAAAAGCGGGCTTTTACGACTCCCTGATCACAATCATGCATGATTTTTTTCTTGAGCCTCTTGTACGGGCAAAATAACACATTTGTGAAGAATCAACACAATTACATAAAACGAATCATCAGATACAGTAATGATTATACAGAGTCTGTCATTCAGTAGGATCATTGCAGGTTCACTGGATGCATGCCTCCGCCACCACTAGCACAGCAGGGGACTCGGGCACGGCAGGAGCAAACATGCTCCTTAAGCCACGCAGGCACATAGCACCACAACGCACCAGGGCAAACCCAAGGCGGCAGCGCAGCAAGGAGATAATCTGCGCGTATGGATCCTTGCTCTTCTCAGCCAGGAGGGAGGCGGTCCGCGTGAAAAGAGCATTTGCATGCTTGCCATAGCCACCAGAGGCAAAAAGCACAACGGGCACAAAGGAGGCATGCTCGACTTCGCGTACTCGCTCTTCGTACTTCCGGCGCTTTTCCTGTTCATGGTGTCTGTAGCTAGCAGCGAGGGAGGTGGCACGATTCGAAGACGCAAAAGGGTTGAACACCCGTACATCAATAAAGATGCGCTCGAATCGGCCACCCCACACACCACTAGCAGCAACGTCCAGCCGAGCTTGCTCCTCCGTGACAGCTGTGCGATGGCGGAAGGCCTCTCCGGTGACGGGCTGGAGGTGGGGTTCCACCGTCACGTTACGAGCGACCTGCCTTAGAGCTCTGGCGGTGATGTCCCTCACCTCGTTATGTCGCAGCGTCGGGAAGCCACCAAACGGGCACGACAGGGCGTGACTCACATTCAGCGGCTTACTGCACACGCAGAGGCTTGGGAGCCGAGGAGGTGTCCAGCCGTACCGGAGGCACAGGCCATCTCGGAAATCTCCCTTGGTGAGGGTGAAACCATGGCGGCTGAGGGGGCGGCAGGTCAATCATGCATGATGCATTGATGAGTCAACGTACAACGTAACCATGGATATAATAATAATAATGGCAACAGCAAAGTTCCGCGTCCAAAAGCGCAGGTGCAACAAAGAAATCAGAGTGCAGAACAAACAGAAATTCAAATCGAAAGGAGATAAATATTGTGGAGATGAAGCGAATCGGTTTGGTCTGTCAGACGGTGCTTGCGCCCAGCGACAGGGTGACAGCAAACCCTGTCAGAGAGAGTCAGTGTACAGAATAGAAATTCATAGAACGCGACACGCAGTGGAGTTGCTGTGGAGAGCGAGAATGCAAGCAACCACGTAAGTACTGTCTATGCAACTAATTATACCGGCGTATCCGACGAACACGCATAACAAACACTGTATCATAACAATGCACTTGTATCTCAAGGACATTAATCACATCGTATCGTGGACGTAACGATAGGCAGTAGTAATGTAAAACGACAACGTATTTAAACAGTCACAACAATAAATATCACACTCGTAAATGATGTTATCACAATGACACTCATTCTATTTCACCCTCGTCGACAACAACAAGAGATGAAGCACCACTTGGAAGGGGCAATGGAAACAGAAAACAACTCAGGCAGAAACCACTTGTCATTTCAAAGCTCCTGATCCTTCTGTTGAGTCTTCTGAGTCCCATTGCTCAGCACTCACAGCAAGCCAACAACGAGGTTGGTTGGGGACGACGTTTGTATTGAGTGAAACGACGAGGGAAGAGACAGAGAGAAGAGCGACTACGTCATGGCAAGAGAGGAGAGAGACAGAGACAGACAGACAGACAGACAGACAGACAGACAGACAGACAGACAGACAGACAGACAGAGAAGAGAGAGAGAGAGAGAGAGAGAGAGAGAGAGAGAGAGAGGGGGGGGGGGGGGGAGGGAGAGCGAGAGCTAGATAAAGGGCCTGGGTAGCTATGACAAATATGAGCGTGTTAGCAGTTTTATAGACCAATGGAAGATAAGGTTCCATACGGGAATCCGGGAAGCTATGTGTACGGGGTGCAGGGGAAAGGATGTGCGGGAGATGGGGACCTAGCACTTTGTGCGATTGCCCTTTCTTTTTCAGTGTTTTCACACTTTTCCGCACGCTTCTGTGTGTGATCCTTTTTTTAGATTATAAACCATTTACTTGTAGTGCAAAACGAAGTGGCCGAAACTGTGGCGAACCTACTTTTTTTTTTTAAAGAAAGAAAAAGAATTCCAGTGTAGTTGTTGCCACTAGAAGTTGATAGCATGCTAAATATGCAATGCTTTCTGCTGTACTCCGTGGAGTGGTCAATGTCTGTACAATCTAGAAACTGTATTCATTGAGTGATACACCACACACCACTCATCCACTGGTCAGTCTGTGCCATGTCCATGCTCAATTGTGCCTGTTGATCACGCTAATGTGTAGAACATATCCCTCTGTGTACGTGTATGTGTATGCCATCTGTTTGGAATATGCACAGCACGTGCGTCAGCAGCAGTCTCGGTGGCAGCGGTCACTCAACTCCGGTGCTGCTGGCCACTTGCAGAACTATGAACTGCTCTACTACGGTACGACCGAGCCGTCGTCTACAACCATGGACAAGAAACCGTTTGCTACGGAGACGGACCCCGTCAAGCGGCATGGCCTACAAGCTCAGGTCTGTACATGTACTGCAGTACACAGCTTTGCTTTCCCCTGGGGGAGTGTGGCGATGATCAATGCAGGGTTGACTGGACTATATGCTATAGTCCCTCTCCCACTACATTCTGTAGCTACTGCTTTAGTAGGGATCTCAGCGCGTGCAGTGCGCAGGGTGTTTGCGCATACATTGCGTCGTCGAGTTTTGAGTGCAGCTCGCGGACACAGCAGAAAAATGGCGACGGTCGATTTTCGACACTAGGGGACGCGGTGGACACTAGCGGAATCGTCATCTTCATTGTCGTTCGAACATACTTTGTAATTCCCGCCGAAGGACAGCGTGGCCAAGGCGATATTGCCCCGGTCGATTTTCCTATAATTTTCCATGCGGCAAGAACCCACTTCAGAGAGGATTCAGTCAAAAATTCAGACGTTTTCTCAGGTTAGATTGTCCTAACTTCGATTTTCAGTGCATCAGCCATCGCGAACATCGCCGCCATTATCACTCGGAGAGAAGACGTGATGCTCAGTAGAAGAGGTGTTCACGCTGCGTCCAAGAGTGAAAGATTGTGCTCTTTGACCCTCCATAGTTCCTCTGAGAGAGTGTCTGGGAGATAGGTAGCTTGGAGATGGCCGTAGAACATGCTTTCCTGGACGCAATATTCAGCCATTTCTACTGTCTTCTTCAACTTGATTTATTTCGAAAAAAATGTTCTTTTCCACAATTTCTGCACTGGACGCGTTTGGGATCGAAAATCTCACCTGCGCAGACTGGCTGCGCAGTTCACGCGCTGAGATCCCTAGCTTTAGCGATAAACTCTGTCCTCGCTTGTATCCGCTTTCCTATCTCTGTTTTCCCACTGCGTTGTCTTCAGGTTGACTTTAGTTTTGGTGAGGGTGACTTCTATGCCACTGTATTCATGTGTTAGTTCATCTACACACTGTTTTGTTTTGCTCACACTCACACGTGTTTTTCGTGTACATTCTGTTCTCCTTTGCTCACACTCACACGTGTTTTTCGTGTACATTCTGTTTTCCTTTGCTCACACTCACAGGAAAGATTTAGTGTGCAGCGTCGAGGTAAGTGTTCAATCACAACAGCTAAGTTGAAATGATTTCATTCTGACTATGATGTGTATGCTTAGCATGATTCGTGTTGATGAGGCGCGTGCTGCACACACACACAGGCAGAGTGGTGATATCAGACAGACACTCATTGTCTTTCCGTATGTTGTCTCACACATTCGTGCACATTAATGCATACGCATGCATGTACATGTATGTGCCCATGGTCTCTTTGTACGATACTTTTAGTGGGCTACAGTCGTGGTCCAGAGGAGGCGTTTGCTGTAACACATAATGTGGCTTGCACGTGTTTCTGCAGCTTCTGCAAGGCAAATAAAACTGTCTGATCTGTTTGAAGCTTGGCAACGACGACAAACAGTCCATGCTCCTGTGAACGTACGTTAGTTTTGCTCGCTGTTGCTTCCGGGTCACTGCTCTTGTGCGTGTGCTTGAAAAGTCACAAGTGCTTTTCTTCCACTGTCTTGTGGGTATAAAGGTGGGGGGGGGGGGTACATCATAACTTACATGCAGGTGTGTATATGGCTGCACAGTGCGCACACTTTGAATCTCTGCACTTGTTTCTGTTGGCACATATGCTTGCACGCTTGCCCCCCCCCCCCCCCACACACACACACACCGGTTTTCTGGTCCATGTC